AGCAATCTCCCGTGTTCTGGGAACACCTTTAAGTCTGATATTTTAACAGGTAATAATTTCAATTGCTTATAATAAGACTAAAAGGACATTAAACGATAATCTGAGAACAACACATTATAATATATTCCGTCAGACTAAAATTTTCGAACAGATTTTTTTTTTATCTACCTTTTTATAATTGATTTTTATTAATCATAAAAAAATATATAAAAAAATAGAAATAAAAGATATGAGATTAAAAACATCTTCTTGGAATTTTAGTGTAAATTGACCTTAGCTGATAAACAAAGTTAAACCAAACCAAACCAAACCGTGGGTGATTAAAGCTGTCAAATACGAGACAATCCCAAATTCACAAGTATCTTTGTATTATGGTATACTTTTTTCACAAGATTTCCGTGTCAGAATTAAACGAAGACATCCACGTAATATAATATAATAATAATATGATGAAGTCATGATCATGTGATTATGACCTATTGTGACAAAAGTTTGCACATCGGAGACAACCCTAAACATAGCACATGCATCTTTGTATTATGACAAGACTGTGTATTATGGCTTATGGTTTTTTTCACATGATTTCCGCGTCAGAATCCAACTTATATATCCACGTAATATACTCCCCGTATTGAACTCACGTGACCTATTGTACAGAACAAAAATGGGTTAATAAGAGGCATCCCGTTTTAATGTCGAACGATTAAATGCCGGGATTTGGTAAAGAAATCAACGTAATGACTGATAACGATCGTTGACCCACATTATCGGATCAGCTCCATGTTTTCCTAGAAACCATACCTGTGACACGTATCTCTCGTGGGGTCTCGTGATCCATCACAAATGACGTCAGCTATTACGTGCATGGTTTCAAATAAAGTCCCAAACTCTGTTGTTACTATTTTGTATGTCTATTTTATCTACTATATTAATAACTGTCACTGGAGGAATAAATTTTTCATGTGTTGTAAAGCGTTTTATATTAAAGTAATTTTGAAATTGATTCGAGTAGATCGGTTGGGCGCTACAAGTTAATGTATGACATTTTTTTTTCATTTTTTTATTATTACTATGATGTGCTAATGGAATAATTTATATCACTCATTGTTATTCCATAAGTGAATATGTTATTTGTTGTCTTTATTTATTTTGTATGCATTTACATTTGGTTACAGCTGCAACCAGGGACTATATACTGTCCCTGCTGCAACAGTAAAAAAAATTATTCCGACGTTTCTGGGTTATTTCAAAGGTGAAATATTTCTATGAATTACACAGGTAAATGTGTCTATTTCACTTTTAACGCCGCGTCATTCCACGGGTAATTTTGTCTGTTTTGAACTTTATGTGTTAGTTCAAAGGTAGACGTTTCTATTAATTTATACCTCAAGGTGTAATTTCCCAGGTGAACCTGTTCTTGCAGATTCGGTGAAAGAGTACTAGTGTACCTGCTGTACCTGCTGTAACATGGTATTACGTTCAAGTAGACCGAACATTTCACTGTAAAAAAACACGATAAATTCATACAAAAATCGCGTTTAACATGCTGACTTGTAAAAAGTATGGCGCACTTGTCACTGTTTTAACCTAAATCTGACTAACGGTAAAATCAAAATTATTTTTTTCTATTTCGGCAAAAGATATCTTCAATGTAACTTGGTTCTTTTTGATTTGCCATTTTCGTCTCTAATGGTACGTTTTTGAGACGGAAATATCCCAAAAAAATTGGATACGTTGCATGGTTAATTCAGAAAGGTATTCCGTCTTTGCGTATTGCAGAGTTATCTTCTCTTGGGAGCAGGTATTGATTGTTACGTCACTTGTTTGTGAGAGTAACGTCATCAATTTTTGAGAAAACGACGTAATTTTCTCGCACAAACCAATCACGTAACAATCAATACCTGCTCCAAAGAGAAGATAACTCTGCAATACGCAAAGACGGAATAGTGTATTAACAAAGTCACTGTTTGCGTGTATTCATGCGTTCATAGGGACATTGACGATTATTTTTTGACTTCATAATAAACATATCTAAACTGACCCCAAGTAATCCGATATCTTGTCTAATTGAAATATTTTTCAGATAAAATCCCATTTCTATTTGAAAACTACCAAACATGACCTGTGCAATTCGACATCCAGTGTAATCTGACCATATGTTACGTAACACAGGATGTCGAATTAAACAAGTGTCATTATATATATATATATTCTCATTAAAATCTTATCCTTTAATAACGGACTAGCACGAGATTACTCTCTCCCATCGAAAGGAGGGCTGGTAGAAAACGTATATACATCTTAGCTATAATTAAGGTGATAATCAAATATGAACGGTTGCCAAAAAAAAAAAAAATCAGTCAGCCGAAAATAACAAGTAAGGAAGTAAGAAAAGAAGTGATAAATCGCTAGCGTCGCAATGGGTGCAGAATATCAATAGCACACACATGTACTTTTAGTTTCATCAACGTCCTCCTCGGTAACGACACGGAAGAAAGACCCCAGTTCTACAGAGGGGTCCCATATTAGTCGCCTAGCTCTTACGATAACAAGCAGTAGTGTGGGATTTTTATCCTTTTATTTATATTTATCAAGTACACAATACTTGTTTTATTGCTGTCGTGTTTACAGCGACAACAATTTAAAGAGTGATCGACTTCAGTGACGGTTATTGTGAAGATGATAGCAATGATGATGATGGTGGTGTTGGGTGGTGGTGGTGGTGATGATGATGATGATGATGATGATGCATCGTGAAAATGACGTCCGGCACAAAATACCTTTATGTATTTACCACGAAAATGACTACCCCCCACCCTGCAGAAAGATCCATACGTCATGATGTGAAAACCTTTCAGCAGATGGCTAATCTGGGGAGTGATGATATTACGGATGTACACCTACGAGAAGTCAAAAAAATCCTATATTAAACTTTTTTCTTATTTCTTATATTGATTTTTGGAAAAAGGAGTTAATGGCATAGTAGAAAATGCAAAAAATACTATGTGTCCGTGTGTTCGTTTTTGTGCTATGCTTGGTCAAAGATACCAATTTAACACAACATGTGATTTTAGGTGATTTTTTGGGTTTTGACCAGTTGCAGAGCAAATTTCAGATATATATGAATGTTTGTAGAATTGATGAAAATATTATTTTCTTTTAAATTCTGGAAGTAAAATTTCTTAATCCTATTCTTTTAACCCAGAAGCAGATTTTAGTTACCCTTACCCCCTATTTTTTAATGAAAAAATACTCATTTTTTTACTATTTTTTGCATATTAAACACTTGATATAAAAAGTTCAGCTATTAAACTTAAATATTTAATAAATTAAAAGAAAATATGTTTCTCTTTCTAAAATATCCACAAAAATGGGGGTCCGTGGGCTTCTTTTTTTGTCCAATTATCATTTGTGTTATTTCTACCTTTTTCGGGGTCAAAAATAAAAAGTGCTTCAGTTACAATAAATATGTAAAAAAAATATCAATAATGTATAATTTTCCAGTTTGTTGTATACTATTTTTATCATATTAAACATTATGAAGTTGAAAATCAAAATTGAACCTGTTACAATTAAAAATGGCGACACAATGACAACTTAAGTGATCAATCTAGTGTCAAAAAAGGTGAAAGTTATGCCTTTTTTGAAGCGCAAGAAATACCCATTGAATAGGTATTTTTTTTAATTTCTTGGAAAAAAAGTTCTACAAACAACAGGCATCTAGCTTTTTGACATATTTTTCAGATGCATGTTTGGTAATAAAAATGATCATAATTTGTTAAATATTACAAAAACCCGTTACACCAGATCAAAACGAGACTTGAACGTGATTGAAACCTCAAAAGAGTACATCCTTAATTTATAAGTGATTAGTTTATAAGTTGTAAAAACTTGTTTCATAAATATTGGTAAAAAAAGGAAGTTTATATCTATATTAAGTAATGAATCTGAAATTTCATGGCAACAAGAAGGTGTGTATCAGGATGTGAGAAATACTTTGAATCATGCTACTTCGAACGTGAATAAGAAATTAAAAATAATATTTATATGCAATTCCTCAAACGTTTACATATAACTTTAAAATTACAAAATATCTTCCCCAATGATATCCAAATATAACACATATACAATGTATGAAATTACATCTCGATTTCGACCGTAACAAATCTATCCTCTCCGACAAAGCCTGTCTCCGGTAACAAACACGATGATTCCCAACCCCAAATAAAATAAATGAATAAATTCGAAAAAATAACCCAACAACAACAAAAAAAGATTTATTTGCCCATGAACAAAGTCAACTGTGCCCACACGATTCAATAATGATATGAAACATATTTTAAGATATTGCAACACTTATCCTGTCAATTTTTATTTTGCTTCGTCACCTCATTGTATCTGCATGGACTTGTATACACATGTATATATTTAAGAACAATTAAAATCAAGTTAGTAATACAACTTGTAAAATGCAATCATCTATCTCCAACTTAAGAAGTCGATTACCCCCGATTTTTAATCTGGAAACTATTAAGATTAAAGATTAAAGAAATAACAAAATAGTTTTTAGTTGCTCATTTTTAACCATGTTTATTTTCAAGAAAGCACTAATTCAAGGCCGAAAAAAATCAGTACAGTAAATCTCTCAATTATATTTTTGACACACCCTCAATGCAGACAGACGATTTATTAAATAGACTTGTTGAGTGAGTTAACATCAAATGTGAACTAATTTACTATAGAAGTGCCCGGATCGACTAATTGATAAAACTGATATCACTATAATATAGTTCACTTATAAAGGACGAGTCGATCCGACCTCCAATCAGACTGATTGTTTAGCCATATAGTTTAATCATCGTGTTATTGTCCAGAAGGTGTCCGCTACTGTTAATTAGTAAACAATACCATGATTAATTCATGTTTGTTGGGGGGCAATTTCTGCCTGACCGGTGTCTTAACAGGAAGTCACCCCTAGCAACAGAAGTCCCAATCAGCTGGTACATATTTCCCACAATGCCTCAGTGGGCTTTGTGTCATGGGAGACTCGTCATGATCGGGCGAGAAGAAGGGAGAGACATGGAATAGAAAAAATGTAGAAGTCTACACTCAATTCCTAATCAAAACCTGAAGAAAGATGGCAAAAATGGCGAGTGCCCTGAGTTCTAAGACGTCTGAATTTATAGTAGGTCAAAACAAATATCGTCTAGTCCGGAAAATAGGAAGTGGATCGTTTGGGGATATATATCTTGCCATTCACCAATCAAACGGAGAGGTACGTTGTTAGTATGTGTATATCACATTCTTTGTTTGTGTTTGACCCCGTTTTGGTTAAACAATGACATACGTTCAGGCGATTATAACCCTTTACCTATCTGTTACATTGAGTATTTGTTCTAGATCACATACAGTACTGTACGTACAGCAACAAGATTCAACATGGCCAGTTAATATCAAACATATTTTATAAGTAGGATTATCATATTTCCTTCAACAGATCAAATACATTGCTTCCATATTTTACTATATTTGACTATTTTTTCGACCATATTTGATTAATTATTGTATATATTCCATTGTAAATCCCCCCTTTTATACCCTGTTTGTGTAGAAAAACGGGCACCTGTTCCTTGTCAATCAATTAAAATGGTGTTGTTTTTATATATATCAGGAGGTTGCTGTCAAACTAGAATCGGTGAAAGCGAAACACCCACAGTTGTTATACGAAAGTAAACTGTATAAAATTTTACAAGGAGGTGTTGGAATACCTCATATAAGGTGAGTTTTTACATATTCACAGATACAGATCCTCATTGGGGGTCTGACTGCTATGTTTCTTCTTCATAGATACAACTACAAACATTACATTGTTCATGTCTATATTTAAGAGTATATACAATGTTCAACATAGTTCTAAAGACCTAAGATATATGTATACACCCAAGTTGTGAATTGAAGTGGGATCTATGGCGTATTGTTTACACCATTATTGATCTGTGATTTTTTTAAGAGATAACATGTTGTTTTGCCTATACAAGAGATGACCTTTAAATCCTTAGATGCTTTGTTTATTGACATGTACATATACCAATCTGGTAAAATATCAAGAAAAATATAAGTCAAGCACATTACATGGTATATCCCCCCATGTTTCTCTTATTTAAAAGTAATGACACATTTAATGTTATCCCTATGCTAATCAGATTCTTAAATTGTTAACCCTGGTTTGTGTTTCAGAATGAGAATTTNTCAGAACTAACTCTCCCCCTCCGCCCCACACACCCCATTATATAATCAGCATATCAATTAAAAATATATACCATATTTGCCATTTATCATTAGACCTGGACAACCCACATGGATGAAATTCAATATTTTTACATTTAGATTGATACATAAATGGTACCTGGTAGTCAGATTGAAAAATAAGTGATGGCTATTTATAGACTATTCCAAAACTAGAAGCAATAACATGTACATGACACAGGTATGACAGTAAGATCGCTAGATGACAAATGCAAATATTTTTCTGACTAAAGTTATGTTGATACTCCCCCCTCCCCAGTTTTTAAGTGCACTGGGCACCATCTATGACGAATATACATGTAGTATGATTATGAATGTTTGGCTTAACTAGTTCACTCCTGAAAGTTCATAATGAAATATTCCAACCTTTGAATTGGAGGAATTTTTGATGATTTTGTTAAAAATCATTTACCAGTTATACCTAAAATTTCAACAAATAATATGTTCCTATAAATTTGGCTTTGATCTAGGAACACTTCTGGAAGACTTTCATATAATTAGTATATAATTAAAACAAAGAAACTTTATCATTTTGCGTAATAGTTTATGAATTTATTAAATTTCTGTTTTCAGATGGTGGGGTTCCGAGCAGAGTTACAATATATTAATTATGGACCTTTTAGGGCCAAGTCTGGAGGATCTCTTCAATTTCTGCTCCAGGAAATTTAGCATGAAGACTGTTCTCATGCTAGCAGATCAGGTAAAACCATGTTTAGACAATAGGATGCCTTGTTTATATACGTGTTGCTCGCATGAGAATACATGTTGTTTTCTGTGAAGTGTGAATATACTTATTGGCAATAGTAGTGTGACCTTTTAACAAAACTCATCAACAGTACCAGTACTTGTGTCTAATGTCTTTTTAACAGGGTTCGTACAGGCATTTGACAGATCTAGACCTAATCATAAGGCTGGCCTTGAAAAACCCAACAATTGATGCAAAGGCCCTTAAAGACACTAAATTTATCAAAATCTTCTGAAAGAATCAAAATGAGCCTTGAATTTGATTAGATGATCATTAAAATATGATTGTATGTATATCAATTTTTGGTGGTTTTGTGGTGTTATCATAAAAATGTATCATAAAAATGAATTCAGAAAATACACAAAAAATAACATCTGTTATATTACTAGCTATTTAACTTCTAGATTTTAGGATAACTGATCAGTTTTGATTTAAGGGTTGATTGGTGTTCTATGGTAAGTTTATATAGAGACATCTAGGTTACACATCTAGATATCTGTTTTTTTATGACAATTTGCAAGTGGCGAGAAATTAAGACTTAATTTCACTGATAAGGCCCAAAAAGCTGTGAATTTCACAGTGAAATTCCTGTACGAACCTTTGTTAAAATCATGCCGGGATTGTGACATAAATGTTCCTTGTGCAGAATTTGACATCTGTTCTGTGCCATTTAACTGTACCAGAATCAAATCTCATGTACATGATAGATGCCAACATTTGTGATATCAACATAATACATGATAACATATCAATATATTGTTAATGTTACTAATACAACTGTATATTAATCTAACTTGCTGTTCTTTTGAAAACAATTGATACTCATGACACAAAATTTCCTTTCGCATTCTGCTTCAGTCTGAGGCATTAAAAGACAAACCTTATTACAAAGCTGAGGTTAATATATACCTTGTTCAAAAATAATAACTTTCAGAAAAAGCAGAAAAAACCCAACATAAAATATGTTGTGCAATGTGCTGTAGCATTTTCTGTACAGAAATATAAGCATTGAGTCGACGTCTGTCTAATTTTAATTGGATCTACTGAGCTAGAGTGACAGTCTAGATCTGCTGTATGAAAACCTATAGTCAGACAATTACATGAATGTTAATTGTAAGTTTCAGTCCTAATAGTAATAGAACTTGTTCTATTGTCAAAAAAAGAGATAACCCCAGATCATGTTTGTGATCATCCTTGATACTCCAGGGGAAGCGCTCACCTCTGCTCTCTGCATTCCTGGAATATGTCATGACAAAATCAAAGGCTCGGTAGTCCACGTGTGTGCCACCTTGTGTATGAGACAAGAAGACTAGTTTGATCCTTGATGTACAAGTACACCAAAAGAATCCTTTGGTTGTGTAACAGTAAAATTGACTGGCTTTTAAGACGCGTGTCACTCCTCTAATCTTCAAAAGAAAGGTACCAGCCTAGCGATTGGTCAGTTGTTTAACCTTAGACCCAATTCAACCAAATATCTAGTTGCTTGCCTTCAATTTTGTCTGGACATATACTAGGGGTACCCGTTGAAGAGAGCGAAAGTGAGCGTGTAACCCATGGAGTATCGAGGATGGATTGTGATGCAGATCTTAACAACTAAAAGTTTGAAGATGATGAAGTCCTTGTATAAACTAATATGTGTGGATTGTTTTCAGATGATAAACAGGATTGAATACGTCCACAACAAAAACTTCATCCACAGGGATATCAAGCCAGACAACTTCTTAATGGGAATAGGTCGTCACTGCAACAAGGTAAGGCCAAACAAAATGAAGGCTTCATGTAACATAACTGAAAAAATGGGGCAGCTATGGTTTTCTTTATATTTTCTTTTCTTTATTTTGAGGGGGGGTGTGTGTGTGTGTGTTGTGTTAATTTAAGAAATTGTAAAGAATCTTCAAACATATTTAGGTATTTCAAAGTTAATTTGGGATTTAAATTTTGTTTTGGTACATGCCTTTGAGGTAGAGAGGGTATTTATACAGTTGCCTTGTTTGTTTACACAAGTCAATCAATTTATTTGCATCCGTTGGACAAGTTATCCCAGCACTGATTGGAAGGTGTTCTTGTGTCAGAGATGAAATGGAATTAAAGGGTAGGAGGTGAAAATTAGGGTCTCTGGGTGTGTACCTGAAACATTCATTTTTTTTTCTTTCTGTCTAAGTTGATGATATCATTAATCTCAGGGGATGAAATGTTCTATGATTCCATGCTTTATTATTTATGATTTAAGTCCTGTTAATTCTGCCACCTTCGTTCCCACTCAGCCTAGCTACAGATCACATTTCACGGAGCTAGGAAAATATACACCATTCAATTTCAAGGTTATATTCTTAAATTTACAGGTGTTCCTAATAGACTTCGGGCTGGCCAAAAAATATCGTGACAGTCGTACCAGACAGCACATTCCTTACAGAGAGGACAAGAATCTCACGGGCACGGCCCGTTACGCTAGCATAAATGCACACCTTGGCATTGAGCAGAGTCGCCGAGACGATATGGAATCCCTCGGATACGTACTCATGTATTTCAACAGGTCAAGTCTTCCTTGGCAGGGATTAAAGGTAACAGGTCACAATTTATGTGATGTTGTCAATAATTTCGTTGATTGCCTGAAGTCCCTATTTTTCACAAATATGAAGTGCATCAATAAAAATGCAGTCCATTTCACTTCAGCTGATAGCTTTTATTGACAAATTTTGATCAAATTTGATACAAAGATCAAGTATGAGAATCTTTTACAGTTAGTACAAATTTTAATTTCTTGTAAAAAAAAGTACATATGTGGTGTATAAATATTTGTTCCCCGTGTTTATTAAGTATAAATGTTCCCTGACCCTCCAAATTATTTCCTTACTGAATGTGTTCTCAGTTTTCTCAGAATGTCTATTGGGTTGATTGGTAATTGCATAGCAAACACAATTTTATGGATCTTCATGTGACCTGGTTAGATACAGATAAAAAACATGTTTTCTCTTCATTTCAAATCTTACAGCGTGTCATATTGTGATCATGACTGGAGTCTGTTTATATTGATATGACAAAATTCATCAAATATTTTTCTTTTAAATTTTCAAGGCCAACACAAAGAAACAGAAGTATGAAAAAATTAGTGAAAAGAAGATGTCAACACCTGTTGAAGTTTTATGCAAAGTGAGTATATAAACATTCAAAATATTATCGTCATGTTTATCATTATACAAACAGCGATGTCCCTTGTACATGACGAAAACTGTAAAATCTCAACAAATTGACCCTTGTTTATCATTATACTGTAAATCATTATACAGTAAAACAACAATGTCCCTTGTACATGACGAAAACTGTAAAATCTCAACAAATTGACCCTTGTTTATCATTATACAGTAAAACAGCAATGTCCCTGGTACATGACAAACACTGTAAAATCTCAATAAATTGACCCTTGTTTATCATTATACAAACAGCCATGTCCCTTGTACATGACGAACACTGTAAAATCTCAATAAATTGACCCTTGTTTATCATTATACAAACAGCAATGTCCCTTGTACATGACGAACACTGTAAAATCTCAATAAATTGACCCTTGTTTATCATTATACAAACAGCAATGTCCCTTGTACATGACGAACACTGTAAAATCTCAATAAATTGACCCTTGTTTATCATTATACAAACAGCAATGTCCCTTGTACATGACGAACACTGTAAAATCTCAATAAATTGACCCTTGTTTATCATTATACAAACAGCAATGTCCCTTGTACATGACGAACACTGTAAAATCTCAATAAATTGACCCTTGTTTATCATTATACAAACAGCGATGTCCCTTGTACATGACGAACACTGTAAAATCTCAATAAATTGACCCTTGTTTATCATTATACAAACAGCAATGTCCCTTGTACATGACGAACACTGTAAAATCTCAATAAATTGACCCTTGTTTATCATTATACAAACAGCGATGTCCCTTGTACATGACGAACACTGTAAAATCTCAATAAATTGACCCTTGTTTATCATTATACAAACAGCAATGTCCCTTGTACATGACGAACACTGTAAAATCTCAATAAATTGACCCTTGTTTATCATTATACAAACAGCGATGTCCCTTGTACATGACGAACACTGTAAAATCTCAATAAATTGACCCTTGTTTATCATTATACAAACAGCAATGTCCCTTGTACATGACGAACACTGTAAAATCTCAATAAATTGACCCTTGTTTATCATTATACAAACAGCAATGTCCCTTGTACATGACGAACACTGTAAAATCTCAATAAATTGACCCTTGTTTATCATTATACAAACAGCGATGTCCCTTGTACATGACGAACACTGTAAAATCTCAATAAATTGACCCTTGTTTATCATTATACAAACAGCAATGTCCCTTGTACATGACGAACACTGTAAAATCTCAATAAATTGACCCTTGTTTATCATTATACAAACAGCAATGTCCCTTGTACATGACGAACACTGTAAAATCTCAATAAATTGACCCTTGTTTATCATTATACAAACAGCAATGTCCCTTGTACATGACGAACACTGTAAAATCTCAATAAATTGACCCTTGTTTATCATTATACAAACAGCAATGTCCCTTGTACATGACGAACACTGTAAAATCTCAATAAATTGACCCTTGTTTATCATTATACAAACAGCGATGTCCCTTGTACATGACGAACACTGTAAAATCTCAATAAATTGACCCTTGTTTATCATTATACAAACAGCGATGTCCCTTGTACATGACGAACACTGTAAAATCTCAATAAATTGACCCTTGTTTATCATTATACAAACAGCGATGTCCCTTGTACATGACGAACACTGTAAAATCTCAATAAATTGACCCTTGTTTATCATTATACAAACAGCGATGTCCCTTGTACATGACGAACACTGTAAAATCTCAATAAATTGACCCTTGTTTATCATTATACAAACAGCAATGTCCCTTGTACATGACGAACACTGTAAAATCTCAATAAATTGACCCTTGTTTATCATTATACAAACAGCGATGTCCCTTGTACATGACGAACACTGTAAAATCTCAATAAATTGACCCTTGTTTATCATTATACAAACAGCAATGTCCCTTGTACATGACGAACACTGTAAAATCTCAATAAATTGACCCTTGTTTATCATTATACAAACAGCAATGTCCCTTGTACATGACGAACACTGTAAAATCTCAATAAATTGACCCTTGTTTATCATTATACAAACAGCGATGTCCCTTGTACATGACGAACACTGTAAAATCTCAATAAATTGACCCTTGTTTATCATTATACAAACAGCGATGTCCCTTGTACATGACGAACACTGTAAAATCTCAATAAATTGACCCTTGTTTATCATTATACAAACAGCGATGTCCCTTGTACATGACGAACACTGTAAAATCTCAATAAATTGACCCTTGTTTATCATTATACAAACAGCGATGTCCCTTGTACATGACGAACACTGTAAAATCTCAATAAATTGACCCTTGTTTATCATTATACAAACAGCAATGTCCCTTGTACATGACGAACACTGTAAAATCTCAATAAATTGACCCTTGTTTATCATTATACAAACAGCAATGTCCCTTGTACATGACGAACACTGTAAAATCTCAATAAATTGACCCTTGTTTATCATTATACAAACAGCAATGTCCCTTGTACATGACGAACACTGTAAAATCTCAATAAATTGACCCTTGTTTATCATTATACAAACAGCAATGTCCCTTGTACATGACGAACACTGTAAAATCTCAATAAATTGACCCTTGTTTATCATTATACAAACAGCAATGTCCCTTGTACATGACGAACACTGTAAAATCTCAATAAATTGACCCTTGTTTATCATTATACAAACAGCGATGTCCCTTGTACATGACGAACACTGTAAAATCTCAATAAATTGACCCTTGTTTATCATTATACAAACAGCAATGTCCCTTGTACATGACGAACACTGTAAAATCTCAATAAATTGACCCTTGTTTATCATTATACAAACAGCAATGTCCCTTGTACATGACGAACACTGTAAAATCTCAATAAATTGACCCTTGTTTATCATTATACAAACAGCAATGTCCCTTGTACATGACGAACACTGTAAAATCTCAATAAATTGACCCTTGTTTATCATTATACAAACAGCAATGTCCCTTGTACATGACGAACACTGTAAAATCTCAATAAATTGACCCTTGTTTATCATTATACAAACAGCAATGTCCCTTGTACATGACGAACACTGTAAAATCTCAATAAATTGACCCTTGTTTATCATTATACAAACAGCAATGTCCCTTGTACATGACGAACACTGTAAAATCTCAATAAATTGACCCTTGTTTATCATTATACAAACAGCAATGTCCCTTGTACATGACGAACACTGTAAAATCTCAATAAATTGACCCTTGTTTATCATTATACAAACAGCGATGTCCCTTGTACATGACGAACACTGTAAAATCTCAATAAATTGACCCTTGTTTATCATTATACAAACAGCAATGTCCCTTGTACATGACGAACACTGTAAAATCTCAATAAATTGACCCTTGTTTATCATTATACAAACAGCAATGTCCCTTGTACATGACGAACACTGTAAAATCTCAATAAATTGACCCTTGTTTATCATTATACAAACAGCGATGTCCCTTGTACATGACGAACACTGTAAAATCTCAATAAATTGACCCTTGTTTATCATTATACAAACAGCAATGTCCCTTGTACATGACGAACACTGTAAAATCTCAATAAATTGACCCTTGTTTATCATTATACAAACAGCGATGTCCCTTGTACATGACGAACACTGTAAAATCTCAATAAATTGACCCTTGTTTATCATTATACAAACAGCAATGTCCCTTGTACATGACGAACACTGTAAAATCTCAATAAATTGACCCTTGTTTATCATTATACAAACAGCAATGTCCCTTGTACATGACGAACACTGTAAAATCTCAATAAATTGACCCTTGTTTATCATTATACAAACAGCGATGTCCCTTGTACATGACGAACACTGTAAAATCTCAATAAATTGACCCTTGTTTATCATTATACAAACAGCGATGTCCCTTGTACATGACGAACACTGTAAAATCTCAATAAATTGACCCTTGTTTATCATTATACAAACAGCAATGTCCCTTGTACATGACGAACACTGTAAAATCTCAATAAATTGACCCTTGTTTATCATTATACAAACAGCGATGTCCCTTGTACATGACGAACACTGTAAAATCTCAATAAATTGACCCTTGTTTATCATTATACAAACAGCAATGTCCCTTGTACATGACGAACACTGTAAAATCTCAATAAATTGACCCTTGTTTATCATTATACAAACAGCGATGTCTCTTGTACATGACGAACACTGTAAAATCTCAATAAATTGACCCTTGTTTATCATTATACAAACAGCGATGTCTCTTGTACATGACGAACACTGTAAAATCTCAATAAATTGACCCTTGTTTATCATTATACAAACAGCGATGTCTCTTGTACATGACGAACACTGTAAAATCTCAATAAATTGACCCTTGTTTATCATTATACAAACAGCGATGTCTCTTGTACATGACGAACACTGTAAAATCTCAATAAATTGACCCTTGTTTATCATTATACAAACAGCGATGTCTCTTGTACATGACGAACACTGTAAAATCTCAATAAATTGACCCTTGTTTATCATTATACAAACAGCGATGTCTCTTGTACATGACGAACACTGTAAAATCTCAATAAATTGACCCTTGTTTATCATTATACAAACAGCGATGTCTCTTGTACATGACGAACACTGTAAAATCTCAATAAATTGACCCTTGTTTATCATTATACAAACAGCGATGTCTCTTGTACATGACGAACACTGTAAAATCTCAATAAATTGACCCTTGTTTATCATTATACAAACAGCGATGTCTCTTGTACATGACGAACACTGTAAAATCTCAATAAATTGACCCTTGTTTATCATTATACAAACAGCGATGTCTCTTGTACATGACGAACACTGTAAAATCTCAATAAATTGACCCTTGTTTATCATTATACAAACAGCGATGTCTCTTGTACATGACGAACACTGTAAAATCTCAATAAATTGACCCTTGTTTATCATTATACAAACAGCGATGTCTCTTGTACATGACGAACACTGTAAAATCTCAATAAATTGACCCTTGTTTATCATTATACAAACAGCGATGTCTCTTGTACATGACGAACACTGTAAAATCTCAATAAATTGACCCTTGTTTATCATTATACAAACAGCGATGTCTCTTGTACATGACGAACACTGTAAAATCTCAATAAATTGACCCTTGTTTATCATTATACAAACAGCGATGTCTCTTGTACATGACGAACACTGTAAAATCTCAATAAATTGACCCTTGTTTATCATTATACAAACAGCGATGTCTCTTGTACATGACGAACACTGTAAAATCTCAATAAATTGACCCTTGTTTATCATTATACAAACAGCGATGTCTCTTGTACATGACGAACACTGTAAAATCTCAATAAATTGACCCTTGTTTATCATTATACAAACAGCGATGTCTCTTGTACATGACGAACACTGTAAAATCTCAATAAATTGACCCTTGTTTATCATTATACAAACAGCGATGTCTCTTGTACATGACGAACACTGTAAAATCTCAATAAATTGACCCTTGTTTATCATTATACAAACAGCGATGTCTCTTGTACATGACGAACACTGTAAAATCTCAATAAATTGACCCTTGTTTATCATTATACAAACAGCGATGTCTCTTGTACATGACGAACACTGTAAAATCTCAATAAATTGACCCTTGTTTATCATTATACAAACAGCGATGTCTCTTGTACATGACGAACACTGTAAAATCTCAATAAATTGACCCTTGTTTATCATTATACAAACAGCGATGTCTCTTGTACATGACGAACACTGTAAAATCTCAATAAATTGACCCTTGTTTATCATTATACAAACAGCGATGTCTCTTGTACATGACGAACACTGTAAAATCTCAATAAATTGACCCTTGTTTATCATTATACAAACAGCGATGTCTCTTGTACATGACGAACACTGTAAAATCTCAATAAATTGACCCTTGTTTATCATTATACAAACAGCCATGTCTCTTGTACATGACGTACACTGTAAAGTCTCAATAAATTGACCCTTGTTTATCATTATACAAACAGCCATGTCTCTTGTACATGACGAACACTGTAAAATCTCAATAAATTGACCATAGTTTATCATTATACAAACAGCAATGTCCCCTTGTACGTAACGAACACTGTAAAATCTCAATAAATTGACCCTTGTTTATCATGATACAAACAGCAATGTCCCCTTGTACGTGACGAACACTGTAAAATCTCAATAAATTGACCCTTGTTTATCATTATACAAACAGCAATGTCCCTTGTAGACAACCAACACGGTAAACCGAGATTAATTTTCTTGATCATTAAATGGTAAAACCTCTAATATCATCTATATACATGTACTGCTTTATACCACGCACTGGTAGCGTGATAAATACATTATCATGGGCTGTCAGTATGAGAATACTGAGAAAGAAGTTGTGAACAACATGAGGATAGATTTTCCAATTTGAGATAAAAGGTAATGTCCTTAATTGGAAATATGATCCACACGAAGGTGATCCACACAAGAAAATAGTCTGTCATAATCTCATCATTTTAAGATACGAAAACAAATATTGTGAGGAAAACAACACCATTTTAAGCATAAAAGTTCATATGTAGAAGCCGATACCGATAATATAGCTTCACAATATCTGTCTACGGGGGTTTAAGGTTCATGGTATTCTTTTAGGAAAATCTTCCATTTGTTGATGCTTGTCACAGTTTAGTTTATTTTTGTTTAACGTCGAATTAATAGCTAATGTCATTTAAGGACATGCCGCCATGTGTGTAGTGTATGCATGCTTGCGTGTGTGTATGCAGAAGACAGTGTATGTTGGTGTGCTTGGCTTCTTGTGTTAGCGCGGATCTGATGCCGACTTTATAGTGCTCTCTCGACTAACTGAAGTACCATGCGAAGGTTGAGATTTTACAGTGTTCGTCATGTACAAGAGACATTGCTGTTTGTATAATGATAAACAAGGGTCAATTTGTTGAGATTTTACAGTTGCCATGCCATTAAATGCTGAACGTTAAGAAGGGAATAACATCTACCATTTTTAAGGACTTTGGTATGTCCCAGCCTGGGGACAGAACCCATTGCCTTCCTCACATGGGCGAATGCTCAACATTAAAGCCAAAAGTGAGGTGTTGCCTAACAAGGCGCTAGGAAATAAAAGGTAGTTAGAAATAGAAAGAAAGTTAAATGTTCCAAAATATTGCAATGGGTGTCACAGACCGAGGATCTCAATGTTCATTGTGTCTAGAAGTCATTTGGAACATACAGTATTTATAATTAGTTAACTATTTATGACTGGAGACATATGCTGAAGTAGATAAACAGTTTATCACCCAAGGTTATCAGGATTTCAGAATCGTTCCAACAATTTTTCCATCACTCGCTCATAGGTAAAATTTCATGTCCTGTTAAAATAGTTTAATATATTTGACCCTTGTGACCTTGAAAGTGGAACAAAGTCATTAAATTGAACTATAAGACCTTGACTCTCGGCTAAATATCATTACCCCAGGCCTTTTCGGTATTCTGAAGGTGTTTAAATATTTCAACATTTATAAGAATCCTAGTGAATATATTTGGTCTGAAGCTCAATTTAGTCCATTTAAATACATAACATTTATTACCTAGGGCCAAATAATGCTAAATGAGCAATACAGGCCCATTGGACCCTCTTGTAAATATATAGTTTGATGGCGCGAAGTGAGATGGGGTTTCGTTTCTGTTTGTGCAGTAAATGGTCAAGATGGTTAGTGATCTATAAAAAGTGAAGACTCTCTTAAGATTTGTGACTTTTGTAGAATTGTATCAGGCATTACTTGTGCATCTTTATAAAAAAATAGAGTCTCATTACTAAGATACAAAAGGTTGGAAAGTTCCAAAGGAAAAGCATGAGTCCAGGGCCTGTATTCATCAAACTGTTCTCATGCTCAAGCAGGGATTCTGTGCCCGTACCAACTTCCTTGTAACTCGCTAAAATTCATGTCAATGATCAAAAAGTCAAATGTAAACCTTGAAAACAGTATTGGGGTTTAAGTCTTTTCAATATTTTTCCCCAGACATTGGCAAGATCAGTTTTGATTATTGATTTATAGAAGGAACAAGAACTTAGGATTGAGCCCAAAATCCATGCTTGAGCATGAGAACGGTATTCATGAATAAGGGACCATGACTCAAATATCTGAGTCCCAAAAATCACTGTGAATATATTACTAATTAAGAAACATGTAGCCTGCAATGTTTTAGCAATACCTTATACCAATGGTCTTTGTAAGATTTTTTTAGGCTGAACATAAACATTTTCAGAAAATTAATGAGCCCCATTGTAAGAGATAGGGTTCTCAAAGTGATGGCACTAGTCCCACAGGAGAATAGATAGCGTTAGGACAGGACTCCAAGATCAGTGACTAGAAAATTACTGCTTCATGTTCATGCAGTGGAGTCATGAAACTGTAACTAAGGTCATTTAGTGCTCTACTAGGAGTTGAAACCTCGAGATAGCTAGTCAAGTGCTCTACTGATTGAGCTAAAGGGAACTTTCCTCTATCAAAGTCGGTATAACGTTATGGAAGTCTTGTAAAACTTAAGGATTGTTGTGACAAACTTGTTATGCCTCCGCCATAAATTGGGAGGGGGGGCATATAGTGTTGCCCTTGTCCGTCCCGTCCCGCCCTGTCCTATCCCATCCATGAGCAGGGGCATTTATGTCTTACAGACATTTTCTAGTTTAACAGAAACTATTTATTTTGTCAATGTACTATTGTATTGAATTCCTCCTGAACATGCATATGTATATTGTACATAAAAGCAACCTAAGGTAGAGTGCTAATGGACTTATACACTTGACAGGGTTTTCCAGCGGAGTTTGCCATGTACCTGAACTATTGCCGAGGACTGCGGTTTGAGGAGGCTCCTGATTACATGTACCTGCGACAACTTTTCAGGATTCTGTTCAGGACACTAAACTACCAGTACGACTACACATTTGATTGGACATTACTCAAACAGAAGGCGGCAGCTGGAGCCGTGGCCGGGGTTGGCTCATCACAGCTCGCCACTGGCGTGAAGACAGGTGAGTGTATATACTGGGATGTATTATGTACTGTGGCTAATATTGGCACATCATAGCTCACACGTGGCATGGAGACAGGTAAGTGTACATACTGGGATGTATTATGTACTGTGGCAAATGTTGGCTCATCACAGCTCACAACTGGCGTGAAGACAGGTGAGTGTATATTATGTACTGTGGCAAATGTTGGCACATCCCGGCTTACCACTGGCGTGAAGACAGGCAAGTGTACATATATGAATGTTTTTGTTGTAAATGTTGGCTCATCACCGCTCGCCACTGGCGTGAAGGCAGGTAAGTGTCCATATTTGAATGTTTTATGTACCGTGGCAAATGTTGGCACATCACAGCTCACACCTGGCATGAAGACGGGCCGGGTAAGTGTATATATTTGGATGTATTTTGACTGTGGCATTTATTGGCACATCACAGCTTGCCACTAGTGTGAAGACAGGTAAGTGTACATACTGGGATGTATTATGTACTGTGGTAAATGTTGCTCATCTTGACACACAACAGGCATGAAGACAGGTTAGTGTATATGTAGTATATACTGTGGCTAATATTGGCACATCACAGCTCACACCTGGCATGAAGACGGGCCGGGTAAGTGTATATATTTGGATGTATTTTGACTGTGGCATATATTGGCACATCACAGCTTGCCACTAGTGTGAAGACAGGTAAGTGTACATACTGGGATGTATTATGTACTGTGGCAAATGTTGGCACATCCCGGCTTACCACTGGCGTGAAGACAGGTAAGTGTACATACTGGGATGTATTATGTCCTGTGGCTAATATTGGCACATCACAGCTCACACCTGGCATGAAGGCAGGTAAGTGTACATACTGGGATGTATTATGTACTGTTGCCAATGTTGGCACATCACAGCTCACAACTGGCGTGAAAACAGGAAAGTGTATATATTTGAATGTTTTATGTACCGTGGCAAATGTTGGCACATTACAGCTTACCACTGGCGTGAAGACAGGTAAGTGTACATATATGAATGTTTTTGTGGTAAATGTTGGCTCATAAAAGCTCGCCACTGGCGAGAAGACAGGTAAGGGTACATACTGGGATGTATTATGTACTATGGCAAATGTTGGCACATCCCGGCTTACCACTGGTGTGAAGACAGGTAAGTGTCCATATTTGAATGTTTTATGTACTGTGGCAAATTTTGTCACATCACAGCTTACCACTGGCGTGAAGACGGGTAAGTGTATATTATGTCCTGTGGCTAATATTGGCACATCACAGCTCACACCTGGCATGAAGGCAGGTAAGTGTACATACTGGGATGTATTATGTACTGTGGCTAATATTGGCACATCATAGCTCACAACAGGCATAAAGACAGGTAAGTGTTCATGTACGTATTATAACCAGGAAGCACATCATAGCTCACAACAGGCATAAAGACAGGTAAGTGTACATTTATAATATTATAACCAGGATGTATTACATACTGTGGCAAATGCTGGCTCATCACAGCTCACAACTGGCGTGGAAACAAGCAAGCAGGCAAAGAGCAATGTTCTATATACCGTGGAAAATGTAGGTTTGTTGCAGCTTGGGAATGGCTTTTCTACCTGTTTCATTTGCCATTCCCAAGCTGCAACAAACTTATATTTTGAGTATAAATAACCTGTATTTATATCTGTTGTTGTTAATCGTTTGATTACTTAACTCTGAAGATTTTTTGAGAAACAGATGTGACCATGTCTAAAATTCCCCCAGTTTAACAACCCTACTATATAGTGATCCACACACTCGTTGGATAGATCAAACATTTTCTTTATTCTTATGCATACAAAATAAAAATAAGTTTATGTATATATTGACCTTGATACACATAGCATAGATCTGTATTTGTCATTTTCCTTCCTTAATACGGTCAGTACCATTGACTTAAATATGAATTTTAATGCATGTAATTTGCATAGTTGACTATAATATTTTATCCCATTTCTTCCCATTATACAGGAAAGTGAGAGCTGACACGCTACACGAGACTGTGACTGACAAAAACACATAGAGACACACAAGTATGGACTAATATTGGAAAACAACTGCCAGTGTGCATTGTGAAATCCTCAGATGTGAATATTTGGACTGAGGGTTCACATGACCACATACGACCCAGATTCACAGGGAACATGGGAATCAGTTGTGCGTGTTATTGTAACATGTGAAATCAATACACTATGACAAGGTTTCACATTCGCAGTATGAACATGTGAAAAAAGTTTTTCTAATGTGAAAACGGTTAACATTTCATGCTTTTTATTTTCATGATTCACACTTTTTAGGGAGGATTCACATTTTGTTTTGTGTGAATCAGGTTCACATACACTGTATAATTTGTGTCAACTTTTTATGTGAAGTTCATTCACATTTGCATGATGTTGTTCTTTTTCATGATACCCTTTGCGATTAATTCTGGTTTTACGTTTTACGTTCTTGCTGTACATGGGGGTCATGTGCACATTCCACAGATCATAATTTAATGTGTTGACGTGTGTTATTCAAATGGGTTGCCGACAAGTTATGATTTAAATACTTATTTTCAAAAAGTGATACGTCATTTTCTGTTAAAGTGATAGTTCATACCAGTATATTCAGTTCTAATGTTGCAAAACATTTTTTTTTTTTTACATGGCTCATAAAATTCAGGGTGTAGAGAAATTGAGATTTTATTTGGTGTTTAATGATATAGAGAAATCTTATGGATCTTTTTTCGTGTGATTTGTACTGTTCAAAGCTGTTTATATAATCACATCTCTGGTTTTCTACTTTCGTGTGTTGGATAATTAAGATTATAGCTATGTCAAATTATCTATTAAGAATATCTCCCAATACAATCTTTCATATAATCTTTCATACTAAAGTCATTAGGTGTTTATGATAAGGTTTTCAACAAAAGAGAAATAAGTTGTAAATGACATTAAATTTAAGCTTAGCTTTTTTATATATGGTAATGATGTGTCATTTGTGTGTGAAAATCAAAGCAAGCTTGATATAAGGATCACTGACAGTGCCATCGCAATTACTAGTTTGAGTTTAAAAAGAAATCTGAAAATCAACATGGCTGCCAGCAGCCATCTTGGATTTTGTGATAAATCAAATGGCTCCTGATTGGAAACTGTTGAGTTGAATAAGTTTTAAAATTGCTGACTAAATGACAGATAGTGCACTGTTTAAATTAAAAACAGAAATTAATGGAATATGGTACATCTCATCCAAATATTTCTTGTCATAATTGACAATGCGATCTATTCCTGTCTGAGTTACTTGGCATGTGTGTTTGTTTAGCAAGTGTAAATGTAAACCTTGTATCCACAATATCAAATCGTTTTTAACTAGTACTGTTATTATCACAATCAATTCCCAAAGATGTTGACATTTTAGATGGTGTCCTTTCAGGGTTGTGGTAATTTTGTCAGGCAAAACAGATAGATACAATTCATATCGCCAAAAAAAAAGAAGCAACATCTTAAATATATGAATGGTTATCTAGATGTCATTAAAGAAAGTTTAAATATTTTACACACATGCTACATACGGACAGCTTATTTTTTTCCCATTAGATCCAACCCGACTACAACTAATGGAAGGGAGATAACTCGAGTTAGAAGAGGCGTGGCATTCATTATTTTAACTTCAGTTAGAAGAGGCCTGACATTCATTATTAGAACTATTAAACGTACCATTTTTGGATTTGAATCATAAAAAAAGATCTGATCTAATATTGATATTGATATCAATGTTATTTTCATTGTAAATATACAGATTTTGTTATTATATCCTTCTCCCAACCCTAGACAGTGTATGTGTGTTTGTGAGAGTTGATATTGTATATTATTTTATCTTTAAAGCACAGATATGTGCTTTCATACCTATTACAATGGGGCATTGTATGTTCCAGCACTTCAATTAATGGTAGAATGATAAATTTTGATAAAATTAACATAGACTTATGATTTTTTTCCCCTAAAACTTTTTCTCCATTTGGATTTTTCCCCCCATCTTTTTGCAGTATGATAGAAGTTCTGAAAATTCTATTTATACCACAAGTAAAAAAATCTATGAAGATAAACATACAGTGAAATCTTATACAATCACCTTAGCAGACATCCTGTATTAAGAGACCACTTGCATCAGGACACCATGTTTTGGACTGTCTGAGGATGGTCTCGAAATACGGTTTAGATTGTACTAATTAACAGACCTAAATCGGGCCCATAATATGTAACTGCATTCTGATGACTAATACTTGTAATGAAAAGCAGGGAGAACCCTGTTTTGAATGTTTCGCTACCTTCAATTGATAAGTTACAATCAAATCATCCCATCTCCAACAACGTCTTGTAAACAGAGTTTTGTCCTACAAACCTTGATAGTTCAACATTTATTTGTTATTTTTTTTATTAATTTTTATTGGAAACACTATATAAAAAAACAACAACAGTCTAATAATAATAAGTTAATGCTGAAGACAGATGATTGCAATTTTTTCTTTCAATAAAATGTATTTCAATTGCTAAACATTAAAATCAGGATTAAAATTGCTTACCTCATTGGTCGTTCGTTAGACATGAAACTTCAGATTGATTGGAAATTGTAGAAATATGCAACTGTAAAATCAATTATCACATAAATTAAACTCCAAATGATATTACAAGTATGATTTATAGCCTTCTCATAATTGTACTTACAAAGTGGTGCACTTATTCAGGTTTTTGTGCTGAGTGACGTATGTGTAGTGTAAAGTGTATGTTTGTATTTTGATCTCAGTTTCGTTTCTTCATGATATTAATCCATGCGAGTATAAAACAGTGCCGGCTGACTTGTGAAAATTGTTTAAAAGATGTTGATGCTAATTCAAGGAATGATTTGTCTGGAATTCAATCATTTTTCTTTCTTCTGCAAAGTATATTTGCATAACTGTTTTCCAGAATGGCTGTATTTTACTTGCAACTGACCGAAGTGGCTTTGTTCTTGTGCAAGTGGTAAGGACTTAACCATGTACACAGAACCAATTTTACCAGAAATGACCTACGGTATACTTATAAAATTGTTTTCAATCCCTTTCCAAGAATGGGGTGCGCTTTTTAGCAGAAAGGAAGTATCTTACTGTTATACCATATCCCTTTCACTCGTCTATGTTGAAAGAGTTATTACGCTTATTTCCTCTGACACTAAATACTAGTAAAATAAGGTTTTACAACTGTTCTTAAAATACTGCATCCTTCATAGGAATACCAATATTCACTAGTACAATTAAACCTTCATGGACGAGTACCTGTCTTTAAGGACATCTTTTAAGCATACACTAGTTTTATTGACACGTTTCATACTTGCCTACTTTTTGAAATTTTCCATAGGCATAAGGCATACTCAAAATTAAAAAAATTAGTGTGTGTGTAAAATGTGTGTATACCTCTCGGGTGAAAAATAACACTTTAAAATGGCATCTTTTGAACTATACACTCATATGAAATCATAAGATTTAAGAAAATAAGAAAAGTTTAACAGTTCACTAGTTGAAAATGTTAAATTGTAGGGTTCAAAATGGGAGTTTCCCCCCGAAATAGGGAGAGTTGGCAAGTTATCGAGTCCTAGACCGGGTCAATAAAGTAAGGCTCACTGTATAGGTTGTCATTTACCCTGTTTATTCATGCATCTTTAAATATTTTTGAATTAAATGTTACATGGTTTGGAAAACTGATTTGGTAGGGCATTAATGAAGCACAATTAGTTTTATGATCAATTTTAAGTATATTTTTTTTTTATAGATTATAAAAAAAAAATTAAAAAAAATTACATGTGATAATCAAAATGACATATAGAGTAAGGTTAAGAAAATCACACGTCTACCTGGAATACCATGTCTTTGCTGGAAATTATTTCTGATCATGAGGCTTCATTCACGGCGGCAAAACAAAAAAAGTCAAGCAATTAAAGCTCAAAATACTTCCAAAGGATTCGATACAGTTTTATTAGATACATGCTATTTATTTCAAGACAAATATCAACTATTCACCAAATTTATTTTCAGGGTATGACCTAGAAACTTGACATGTTGTGTCAAAAAATGATTTAAACAATCAAACCTGCTCATGCCATAAACCTCTGTTAAGAGACTTCATCTAATACCAAACTTCTGTACAGATCAAAAGAGTTCCACAGGAGAAAATTATTATATATTTTTTTCAGATGAAATGTTTTTGAAATTATTCAAGGTGTAACTTAACTGAATCGAAATGTCATAACAAAGAATTCATCAAGTCCAAGACAAAGACACACACATTGCAACGTCAAATAGAAATTGACTTAAAATTCTTATACAATGAATTGCACGTCTGGTTCGAGGTTCATTCAACTCTATATAGGCTTTAAGACGCATCATATACGATTACCCTTATAGGGTATGGAAACACTAGAACAAAATGATGCGCTCATTTATGTTTGCCTCTCAGAATTTAGTTCATATTCATGGGCGGTACAGGGACCCGCAGAGTAGTTTTTGTTGATTTAGTCAAAACTTCCTCTGAGAAAGACTACGCCAGGAGACTTTCAGCATATCATAATTCATTTGCATACTTTCTTTATGGAGAAAAATATTCAAAATCGTGGTGATCATCATAACATGAATTTATAAAGGAAAACTCCATCTGTTCAAGCTTAAACAAATATTTTGCATAGGTATTTTTTCCCCTTCATGGCTGAAAGAGAAAACGATAATGAGAGTGTTCTCCCTTATAAATGACGTGCATGAAAGTATGTTCTATTGGTGTGTAATTCAGCTTTTTTACAAAAAGATATATATACCCAATAACTTTCTTTGACATTTAAACATCTCGCTGTATACATATATATATATATATATCTCTCTCATGAACTAACAACATTCATATTTCAAAATTTAGAATTCGTAATTTAAGCAATACATTTTTCCTGATGATTGAATAATAGCATGTACATACATCTAGATTCTATAGACAATAACATCCATACCAGTTTTAAAATATGACTACTTTCACTTGTATTGAAAATCATTTGAAATTGGAAATCACTTGAAACTGGTATGTATGCATAGTTGTGACCAGACTGGGATAGATTATCCTATGTAGTCCAAGTAATATTTGGAATTTTAATATTTTGATCTTTACGTTACAATGATCATGTATAGACATGAATTAACATGTGTTGTATGAAGACTTGTTGTAAATGATTTATTCGTGTAAGTGGTAATTCAAGTGACGTTTTCTGTAAATTTCAATTTTTATTTTAACTGTTCTCTAGTAGAGGTTTGTGGAAGCGTTTTAAAATCACGACAAAATTTTTAAAATTTATGAAATGTTTTTAAGTAGAGACATAGTACTTTAACAATTTTACACAGGGACGTTGATTGTTCCGAAAAAAGAACGTAAACTGTAAATAATGTATATACCTGTATCATCTATTTAAAATTGCATTTACCATCTCTGTATCATATTATGTATGAACTATTTGGTCCAACAGATTCAAAATGTAAATATCTTCTGTGTGCTTTAACGGTTATCTAAATTATCCAAAACTTGACTCATAATTTTGAAATGATTGAATTTTTATTTTTTCCAAGTTTGTGCTTTGTGTTTGAAAGTATACTTGCTGTGCTTATTCAGAAGGATAGGACAAGGTTGGGTAGTAGTGTTGCTAAACATAATGTTCATGGTAAATTATAAGTAACGACGTTTATTTCCACAAAATTATGTTACCTATGATGTCTTTGGTATGAATTTAACAGTTAAATTAAAGATTAATCATACAATAACTTGTGTTTTTTGTTTGTTTTTCAAAATGATAAATAAAAAAGAGTAGTTAATCCCTTCACCCTTAAAGTCTCATTTGAACCTTGCTTAATCAAAGACTGTGCAAGTCCAGTTTAAACATGTATTTATCGGGATAAATGAGTTGAGGGTGTGGAATCATCTTCAAACTTTCGTTAAAGACGCATGTTTGGGTCCATGGTACCTCGTCTGCATATCAATGGGTTTAAGTTTGTATTTGTAGCTCACATGGCCCGGAGGCCAAGGTGAGCTTATGCCGTGGCGCGTTGTCCGTGGTCCATCGTCCATCGTCCGGCGTCAATATTTTACTTTGAACAACTTCTTCTTAATAGCTAAAAGGCCTAAGGTGATGATAGTTGGCCAGTTGTATGCTTGGATGAAGGGCTACCAAGTTTGTTCAAATGAATGACCTTCACTCAAATTCAAGGTCACATGGGGTCAGTTGTCTTAAAACCCCTTTAAACGACTTCTTCTGAATAACCAAAGTGCCCATGGTGATTATATTAGTCTAGTAACATGCAGGCATGAATGGCTACCAAGTTGTTCAAATGAATGACCTTCACCTATATTCAAGGTCACAGGGATTAAATATGTTAAAACCTTAAATGACTTCTAAATAACCAAAGTGTCCAAGGTGAATTTATTTGACGAAAAGCATTCAGGGATGAGCCCTTCATCCAGGGTGATTATATTAGTCTAGTAAGATGCAGGCATGAATGACTACCAAGTTGTTCAAATGAATGACATTCAAGCATTATGAAGGTCACCGGGGTAAAATATGTTAAAACGACCCTCTGTGAATAACCGAAATGCCCAGGATGATGATATTTGGTCAGTAGCATACTGGCTTGAAGGGTACCAAGTTTATTCAAATGAATGACCTTGACTTATATTAAAGGTCACTGGGGTCAAATATGTCAAAATCTTTAAATGACTTCTTTTAAATAACAAAAATGCAAATGATAGTGATATGTGTCCGGTAGCATGCTCGGATGAAGGGATGACCAGTTTCCATGGGAATGACCTTGGCACACTTTCAAGGTCACATCTTGTCATTTGTGTCTAAATCTTTCATATGCATTAGTCATCTTCTCAATTTACAAAAGGTATAGGGTGGTTGTATTTGACAAGTTGCATTCTGGGATGAAGGGTTATAAATGTGTTTAACTTAATGTCATGATTGACTTTCAAGGTCACAGGGGTCAACTGCGTTTAAATCTTTGAACAGGTTCTTTTGAATGACTTTGAGTCAAGACACTGATATTTTGCCTGTAGCTTTATTTTCATCCAATTTCAAGGTTACGATTGTGAGATCAATACCAGGTGAGAATCAAGGCCCATTGCGCCTTTTTTTTTCAATGTTGGTAGAACACAGATAAGTGCGTAGAACCAACGTCATAGTTTCTTTAAAGATGGATGTTTGGGTCCATGGTCCCTCGTCTGCATATCAATTACGTGTGTTTTAATTTGTGTTTTCTCAACGTAATAAGTTGAAAACACGTACATTGGCTAAGGGTGAAGAACTGATGTTAAAGTTACTTAAAATATGGATGTTTAGGTCCATGGTTCCTTATCCGTATACCGGAGAGCATGCAGCACATGTTTTAGGGAATGCGTTGCACTAGTTTCATCAGAAAGGCTCCAGTGACCTATTGCAATCACCTTTCACCCGTCATCCATAAACTTTCAACATTTTTGACCTTTTAAATAACTTTTTTTTTATGAAATTATTTCAAACTTGGTCAAGATCATCCTTCGTTGTAGAGGATATCAAACTGTAAAATTGTAGATCCTGCCCCAAAATAAAAAAAGAAAAAAAAATGAAAAAAAAAAAAAATCTTCTCCAGACTCATATAAACTAGAATCAAATTATCTTCATAAATGCAAATATCATGATGGGGGCTTTCTCAAAATTGTTATTTTCAGTACCCACCGGTTATTGGTTATCCTTTGAAGAGGGGTAAAATTTACTATAGAGTTCTGGACAAAGTGATAGATTATATCTGACCCTAGATTGCTGAATAGTGATGTCCTATTCCGTCTTTGCGTATTGCAGAGTTATTTTCTCTTGTCAGCAGGGATTGATTGTTACGTCATTGGTTTGTGTGAGAAAATGACGTCGTTTTCTCAAAAATTGATGACGTTACTCTCACAAACAAATGACGTAACAATCAATACCTGCTCACAAGAGAAAGATAACTCTGCAATATGCAAAGATGGAATTTGCATTGCTAAACTTATGACATAGACCTTGCGATGCTATCCAAAATCGGGATATAATTTGACGTAATAATAATGTTTGATTGTGACATCATCAATCAATTAGTGATGAATACATGTTAAAATGACAAATACGTCTACACAAGGAGATTCATTGTATATGTAAACGTCTTACTGGACATAAAACTTGTAGTTAAATGAATAATCAATAAAGTGCTGTTCAGAATAAAATTGTTATACTAAGGTGTTCAGAGTATTTTTTTTATGTTTTAGGGGTTAAAATCAACTTTCGGTAAAAAGGCCACCCCCTAATGATGATATACTATACTACAAAATATCATTGGGGGAGTGCATACCCCTTAATGTTACACTAAGGGTTACACATTAGTCGCTCCTTACGATACTACTACTACTACTACTAGAAGACATTCTTTATTGAGGATAAATGCATGTTTAGCCATGGGCTAATAATCTTCCACATGGTCGATCCTCTTGTTAGTAAAATACTTGTGTCAATGATGTATTACATTATAAATATATTAGAAACACACAATAGCATAAAATATATAGTATCATAATTTTCTAAGACGCATTCACCTTAAAATCATCATCACATAATGCACAATTATCATGCAAAGTCGTGTTATCAATTAAATGGCACAAGTCTTATTTAAATATACTAGTACAATGTTAATATAGCAAAAACTTAAAAATTGTTCTAGTTGTACGCTAACGTAGCATAATCTAAAACAAAATTGGTTTTACTTCATTAGAAAATACTACTTTTAAAATGTATGAAAATGTTTGACAAGTTTCTGTTTATAATTATTAAATTTATTGACATTCTTTACAGATGTTATTTGCATACGAAAGCCTAGTATTTCTTGTATGGACATTCCTAGCTAGACAAAAATTCCTGCTTAGTAATTTGGTACTAATTCATTTAGACATTAATTAATCCATTTAGAAATTACAATACATGCGATAAGAAACAGCAGGTTCATTTTTTCTCAATCCGTGACCTGCAGGGTGTATTACATCATATCAATTCCGTCTTTGCGTATTGCAGAGTTATCTGCTCTTGTGAGCAGGTATTGATTGTAACGTCATTTGTTTGTGAGAGTTACGTCATCAATTTTTGAGAAAACGGCGTAACTTTCCCACACAAACCAATGACGTAACAATCAATACCTGCGTACAAGAGAAGATAACTCTGCAATACGCAAAGACGGAATAGGAGATATGTTGTTATGTCTGAAGTACCGAACGGATTTATTATTGTGATATACCTTAATAGGAAATTGGCCTGTTGTAATGCAGACGTCTTACATCTACATTTAAAAGAACTGACGGTGTCATGTGAAAGAACATGAATCTTGAGGTTATGTTTGCGGCCTGTAAGAAACAAGGATCAAACTCCCACGTGCAAGTGGAATATAGATGGTTCCTTGCCTAGTCTGTGTTAATGATGTTCAAACGTGCTTGATTTTGGGTTGGTTTTGTTTGTGTTTTACGTCCTATTAACTGCTATGTTCAGTCATTTAAGGACGAACCACGTTTTAGTGGTGGAGGAAAACCTGAATACCCAGAAAAAACCCACTGATAAGCACCAGCGAATGCCCCACGCAGGCCTCGAACCAGCGACCCAGTGGTGGTTGGCTAGTGGTCGTAGACGGTCAGACGCCTTAACCATTCGGCCACCGAGGCAGTGTGCTTGAATGATTGGAAAGACGTTGACGGGAGGAGGACAGAACAGCTGAACGGACATTCTGTTTGGGACATTGAAGGACAATTTTTGGTAGACAACCGTCAGATAAAAAAGTAAGGAGTGCGATTGACGTTGAAACACAAGATTGTGGATTGCCTATGATACCGACGATTATGGTATATTGGAGTTAAACAGTATAGAATATATTTTCTCTAATCCTGGACAGGTGTATCCACTCTTTTACCGGTATAAGATTAATAAAATCTTTCACCCCCTTGGGGGTGAGACAGGGTAATCTCAAACCGAGGGGTAAGATTCTTAAGTTGTCAAACACGAGGTTTGCCGAGTGTTTACCCTTGTATTTTACATAGACGTTACATCAATGCAAGACAATGTTGATGTGATGCGGCTGAATTGTCGACGTGACGTCATTGTATTGTTGCCGTGACGTCATGGTCTTGTTGCTATGACGTCATACAATTTTTGAGAACGTGCAAAGAACACGTGTAGCTTTTCTCAACCCTAAGGTGAGATAAGAAAATCTGACACCGGTAAAATGGTGGATATCCCTGTCCAGGGTAAAATAATTCCTTGTCTCAACCTAGGGTTTAGACGGGGAATTCCCCTATTCATCACAATGGTATGACGTCACTTCAACAATACCAGAACGTCACGTCAACAAATATCATCGTTAGGTCAACTCGTATTAAGCATGTAACATTAACATGTGTATATGATACACACTTGGAGAGCAAGGTAAGAGAAAACGAATCATTCACCCCTTGTGGGTAAGAAAGAAGAATCTCAACCATCAAGGAAGGATTCTTAAACTGCAAAACACTCGACAAAGCCTCGTGTTTTGCAATTAAGAATCTTCCCCCTCTAAGTGGGTGAGAGATTCTATTAGTCTCTTAAAAGTTACAAGTATAATTTATATTTTACGACTCCAAATCCATGTACATGAATAAACATTTCTGAAATAGAACTGAGGCAGGTGTGATAGTGAATTGCAGAGAGTGATATTGATAACTATCGTGTGTCCTAGAGAGATTCTATTAGTCTCTTAAAAGTTACAAATAGGTCAACACTTCAAATCCAAAAGCCTAACTCTCGGAAACCTTTCGGAAGTTCCTGATACGGATTATTGCAGACGGGATGTCCAAACATATCATGAGTCCTAGAGGGAAAATCAAGAGAAGGATTCCAATGTAACCTACTGTCTTTGCTGACTGCCGATCGTCTTCTGCGCAGCCTAATGTGCGCTGGTAGGCTTTAGTGTTCTTCTTGGGTACCGTGAGATTCCTTACCATGTTGTCCAATTTCTCGGCCAACGCCGCCGGCGCTAATGAAGATACAGAACTCCATGTGGTTGCGACAACCGTCGTTGTAACAACCACAGTGGTGGCATGTGTTTCGGAGCTGACAACTGTTGTTGGGATGACAACCGTTGATGTTGCAGCAACGGTAACAGCCAGGGTAGACACGATAACGGATGGAGTCTCGGTGACGACCACGGTAGTTGGAACCTCTGCCGTTGCCGTGATCACGTCGTGTGATACGACAGTTGTCATGGGAACGACTGAAGGTGTTATTGTTATGGTAACGTTGGAAGCAGGAACTACTGTTGTCGTTGTGATGGTTGTCGGAATTTCCAGAGTTGTTGTGGCGAGTTCAGTTGAAACTATTGTTGTCACAACTGGAGAGGGCACTTCTGTTGTTGTCATGATAAGAGTCGTTTGTATTTCTGTTGTCATGACTACAGTTGTCGGATTGACGGTTATTAAGACCATGACGTCTTTAGTTGTTGTATCTAGGACCGTTAAGGTCTGATACTCGATAAGGGTCATTGTCGAACATGGATCTGGAAAAGACGATAATGATAACTTCAGAACAAAATTTCAAATGAAGTCACAGAAGCAAAGAGAGGATCTTTCAAATTGAAAAACGTTATTCGGTTTAAAAGTAGGATCAATATTTGCTTCCGGATATCAAGCTTTCATTGTAGATTGCTGAGATCCTTATACAATACCCTCCATTGCGGTTATTAAATGTCGAATATGGGGGATTATTTTTTATGTCCTTATTTGTAAAGGTACTAACGCACATCAAGGGTATTCATTTTGCTAAGATAGGTGCAGTTGTCTTAGATGCATTTGAAGGAAATTCTTACTCAATTCCTCAAGGCAAAGGATTAAAACACTATATATACATAATAAAATCGTCGCTATTGCTATGATGTTTTGATTTGGTTCTCACGGTTAGGTTGTTGCATTAGTTTCCGGAATATGTATACAAAAGAAAGAAAGATATTTAGGTCAAATAAATTTATTTAATTCCCAATGTTAGGTGAAGTAGCGTTAGCTATTAAGGTACTTTGCTAGTTTTTTGTTTTGTCTTATGTAGATCTGGTAGCATACACACTGACTTGACAAATAATTTACGACTCCAAATCCATGTACATGAATAAACATTTCTGAAATAGAACTGAGGCAGGTGTGATAGGGAATTGCAGAGAGTGATATTGATGACTATCGTGTGTCCCCACTTCCTTGGTTACGTTAAGACTAGGAACGCAATATTCAATCAAATCGTCTCCCTCGATATACAGCAAGCAACTTTAAAACGCCAAAATGTGACAAAATATTTTGTGACAGAATAACAAGGTTTTATTGTAATAGAAAGCAAAAAACACAAGTTTAAACACATAAACAAGCGACATGACTAAAATCAATACCCACCGTTCTGGTTTGTGATATTAAAAAGGTTCTGATTGGTGATATTTTGTTGCTTCTTCTGCGAGTCGGTGGCAGAAACAGCTGTACAATTGTAGACAGGTTTTTGGTCATTATTGTTATTGTTATTGTTATTTTGTCCGAAAGACCATGTTGGATCTATCTGCGTCACCAGCTCACCTGTAAAAACGAGATGAAAGATGGAATTAACGAACAAACACGTTGACGAATACCAATGACGTCATACAATTTGTCGTCGCGGTCACTAGTTTGTTCTTTTTCTCTGTTAAGTTACGTTATAATTCATGTGTACTTAAGGATCCCTGTCCCACTGCAGGTAAACACTACATAATTCCACTGTGGTTTTTCATACGTACGGTTACATCTTTCTAATTTTGTTTAGGCAATAACCTAAGTAAAACTTGGTCATTGGATTATTGCTGACCAGCCGATTACAAATCCCGCAAGGTTCACTTTATCAAAACTATTTTAATGTCAGTAAAAAAATCCAGGTTTTGACAGTGGTACGGATATATTTGATTAACATTAATATCTGAACATATACAGGAATTAAGCATGGAGTGAAAAATTATATAAATATCATGAATGACTAACTATTTTTGGTGCATGAGGATCGAGGCAGCGCTTTATCTTCATAGTTTATGGACCAGAGATTACAACTAACCAGGTAAAAGGATTTTCTCATCATAAATCTTCGATAAAATAATATCGTATTTCATAGTCAACATATTTGTATATGTTAAAGACATGTGTAAGGAGAGGATTGGTAGAAACCTTGTAACCATTTCTCTTCATATAACGACTTATATATCACTAATTGAAACAAAAATAAATGACATCAAATCAAGTCGAATTTTAATGATTGAGAAGACATTTGGTGTAAACAATATTGTTTGTGCATATCATATTAACTTTAACGCATATTATACATTTCATGCTGAAAAAAATCAAATCTAGTTCTAGCGCTGAAGGTTTTTCTATATTTACATTTTTTATATTTTTTATATAAGAGTCAATCGCGGATATTTTTGACATAGTTACAGTACATTGTACAATAAAACCTCATTCTACTGCCCCCCCCCTCCTCCTCCCCCTCCCCCCTCGAAAATGTTCGGCATACTAAAGGGGTTTGACACTATATCATGGGGGAGATACAAATTAATTTTATAAACAAAGGAGAAAAAAAGGACTATGAAACATTTTGGCAGTAAGTGAGGTGGCAGATGGAACAAATGACATTATATCGAGGTTTACTGTATGTACATACATATCTATACTAATGACGTTCTTACCAACATAGCAATGTTTCGTTGCAGTGGTTGACATCACGAAAGCTGGGTCCTCCTGTTTACTTGAGTCAAAGCCGAGCACACAAGTACCACGAGTAGGGCTCGTCGGGCTGTAGGTGTATGACCAGCAGCTTGGTTCCGCCGCACAGTTCGTTTGACAGACAGCCTCCGTATCACCGTAAATGGACAAAATTGGAAACTTCATTGCAGAACCGTAGGTACAGGTAGTGCCTTCAAAAAAGATAATATTTTTATTTGTATTCGTATGCTGCTTGTTGTGTTAGATCCCTGAAATGAGTCTTTTAAAAAGCTGTCTTCTTCTGACTTACTATTTTGTTTGTTTCAGATGTATAGCACTGTAATGGAGTTTTTCATTTCAATTGATATTGTGGCAACGAGCAAATGAGTTTTCATTGTGTTGAGGTTCTTCTAGGATTAAATGAAGACTTTTGAAAAAAACCCATTTTAATAAACAGCCATATGTCAGAAACCAACTGTAAATATTTTGACTACATCACAATTATCATATGGAAATATAAGCAGAAAATATGCATTTTCTAACCATCGTAATACATAACCAACGTTTCGATTTTGATTCTATATCGATTTGGTTTCAATGTACGTGACGTCATATTGTCATGGGATGCCATAAGATGAGGTAATGCGTACAATTATGACAAAGGTTCATAAAGTTAACAAAGCAATCTAGTCATTTGCATAAAAGTAACCAGAACATTCTGAAGTTTCAACAAAACCGTAGTTTGTACACTAAATCGATAAAACGTTTTTGAAATACAATCAAGGGAAATGTTTTCACGGGGACCCTTAAAGTGATAAGGAATCAGACCAGAATTTCCGAAGGGGCTAGCGACTTAACCATATATCGGTAAGGAGCCTGGCTAATTCAGTTTCAAATCTAGTATAGTAAGCGCATTAGCTGTATTCGTTTGTAAATATTAAGTAATGCAAAAATCTATTTTTATAGTAACCTCTTGTCCCTCTGTCTCCGACTATTCCGTCTTTGCGTATTGCAGAGTTATCTTCTCTTGGGAGCAGGTATTGATTGTTACGTCACTTGTTTGTGAGAGTAACGTCATCAATTTTTGAGAAAACGACGTAATTTTCTTGCACAAATCAATGACGTAACAATCAATAACTGTTCCCAAGAGAAGATAACTCTGCAATACGCAAAGACGGAATCCCATGTACAAAACAAGGCATATATTACGTATCACCTGTCAGATGTTTGGCGTGTTCCTAATTGTGTCGAACGTCATCGTCATGATGGCTTAGTTGGATATTTATGTAATATCGAAAGAATGATTTATTCTAAAGATACGTCATCAAATTCAGTCTTGGAATTCAGTGATTGGGTGACAAGTATTTCGTAGCTATAACTTATATCATCACAGTGCCTATTTTGTTTAAGATCTTCTATGGCTAAGCCAAATAGCAACCATCAATCTGGGAATGGAGACTGTAAAATGTTTATCCTACCCTCATTGTTTATTGATATGCTTTCAATTATTAATAGTATTGTATCTCGGTACAGAAAGATATGAAAATTCAAATCATTTTGCCGGCTGATATCGGCTGTTGGTACATATAAATGTGAAAGTAAAGAGTTTTATTTTATAGTTGTTTACAATCTTTATGTATCACGCATGGTATAAAATGATTTTATTTTTCAAATCTTTACGTACCATGATACACTTTTCTATGATACACAAATACATGAATTTTCATATCTTTGTGTAGCATATAAAAGTGTATCAATTTGCCGGCTGATATCGGCTGTTGGTACATATAAATGTGAAAGTAAAGAGTTATTTTTTACAGTTGTTTACAATCTTTATGTACCACGCATGGTATGAAATTATTTTATTTTTCAAATCTTTATGTACCATGATACACTTTTCTATGATACACAAATATATGAATTTTCATATCTTTGTGTACCATATAAAAGTGTGCCAGGGTACAAAAAGATATGAAAATTCATATATTTTTGTCTGGCTCTTGTCGGTCATCGTACTATAATTATATGTGACTTTGTTTGTTATACTTAGTTGTTAGAATAGACATCATCAATAAAAACTTAATGCATTCTCGTTGCTATAAAAAATTCTATTTCTAAGCTGTATTCTGAACGCAATTTATGCGAGAATTTGAACTAAAGAGTTTTTATGAAACGATATTTAGCACTTTTCATCAGGTGAAAATATGAACGAGGTCGATGTCTTTTTTGATGGTTTGACTAGCAACACTATGTAAAATCGCGATAAATCACCGAATGGAGTAGAAAATCACCACCTTTTCTCTTTTTAAGTTACGTGTTTAATTTAAAATGTATGCATTCGTGTTAACACGTAATAATCAGATCACATATTGAAATAATATATAAATTATAAGTTTTAAAGCATATTTGAAAAACGATAATATATAAACTGTAATAATAAATGTTAAAAATGGCTCTCAAGCTATCTTCGACGTTGCATATGATGGCAATAGACGATATTCACATCCGACGAATAAAATAAATTCACATTAAAAATCATAGTTTCATGTTTAATATGTTACTTTATAAATGTATATATATATGTATATTTTGACGAAAATAATCTGCTTGTTGATGAAAAAAATATATATAAAAAATATAAAAACATTTTGTCATCCATTAAGTGCAACGTATCATGTCATGCCATGACTTCTTATTTATATTTTAGCTGTTGGTCAAATCAATTAAATACAAGCTTATTAATTGTATTTCAACGGAAGTAAATTTCATTTCAGAATATTTTATCGTATAGGTAATATTAGGCAACAGCGTATTACTAATTATAGTACGATGGCCGACAAGAATTAAACAACGACTTATTATTTGTATTTCAACTGTTGGTCAAATAAAGTAAATAACAACAGCGTCTGATGAAAAACAATCATTTGTTCTCCAGACATGACGTTTCTCCATATACAAGATATTTATTTACACACCTGCTTGAAACGTTTCGCACAAGACCAAAGCATCGCTGTCGCATTCCTTGTTGTTCCAGTCACCCCCATGTTTAGAAGTGATGCATAGGTCACTGGAGCTCATGTCGAAATTTGATGGGATGCAATTCCAATCATTTGATGGATCTAGAGCCTCGCAGTTACTTGTCCAGATAAGAGTGGCATTGACTGGGTCAAGTATAAGATCGATCCAATATTCATGCCGTCTGTGAAAAGACAAGAAAACATATCAATAGTTTAAAGTTTGGAGGTTTCTTTTTTTCACAACATCGTGGAAAGCTCTAGAAAGATGTGTGGCAATATTGCATCACACTGTTTGCCCTTCTACTATGTAAGACTTATCGGTGCTGCTAGGGGCATAAAGTTTGTGTTTTTAGTGCGCAGTTATTCACTCTCATGAATTTGACGGAAGTGGTGAAAAATAACTATCGAAACATATCTCATTCCATGTCTTTGCTGACAATTAAAAAGGAAAGGCAGAAGAAATAAATAAAAAAACCAAATATTGATTTTAAAGATAGTAAACAATGAGTTTATTGCGCGTAGTCACGTGTATTAGTATTTTGATTGATAACAAGCCTCTTAAGGCAAATATCGCCAATAAAACGCTTTGATGGTGTATACGCTCATTGATATTAAAACATCTTATCACAACACTGAAACCACATTTGATTTAATGATGAAATGCATATTCATTGTAGTTAATGGATAACTCCGAATTAAATGTACTTGAGTATGATGAATGTTCATGTTATGATATCAGTTTATCATTTAGTTTTACAGTTAACAGTGTTTATCGACTAGTTTAATCTGCATTCATACCATTACTGTATCACACATGTACGAGCCTCGATCAGGGTTGATGGGAGAGAAAATAAAAACAAGCTATATCGTTTATGAGGGTCACGTGTTGTGACAAGCCAACCGACGAATATAACAATGAATACATTTATTTTGACAATTTTGACGCTTAACATTGAAGGATAATGGCTAAATGTGTACCATTTAAAGAGTTGTATAAAAGCATGCAACCTCTATCCAACAACTAAATATTTTTCAAGCAAACTACTTAAGATTTCTGGCCCATTATCCTCTGCCTTCTGGAAATAACAAAAATGGAGAAGGGGTAAACAAACGTACATTTTTTGTAACAATTGTTAATTTAAGGTTTTTAGACATAACAAATAAGATGCCGTTTATTCTGAAATAACTCACTTACATTGGAAATGTTTTAATATGGCTGAGGTTGAAGGAACCCTCTCCATAAGGAACTCTTGGAAGAATTGCGCACCAAGTTTCGTGCTCTGTTCATTTTATGATCATATGTAGACATGCTTTACTAGATAACATAAATTGTAGTGCGCACCAAACCCAGAGCTCAAATCTTCGTAAACCCCGTGAGAGACATTCTGGCTCTCTGCCACATAAAATTAAAGGGGAGATAATCAGTTATTTCGGTGATTAGTAAAATTGGTGTGTGGTGTACGCTACAGGTACATTAACCACATTTATACCATATCTTTCATTTACCAAGTTAGCCTCCGTATCGATGACTGGTCAAAAATAGATAATAAACATTGATCATCATCGATTGTATTATTGACTTCTTAAGTGTTTTGAATTGCATTTTGTTGTGTTTAACTTTTTATAACTGAATTTGACATAAAACCTAAATTTTTAAAAACAATATAATTATCTTCTTGACGTTGGAATTATCTAACAACATGAACATTCAAGTAAGCATTACGCAACCAATGCTTGGAAAACATATGTGATTAACAGTGTCAATGGATTGTTTTGTATTTTGTATCGTAAAGTTAGAAAATATAAAAGGTGTCTCTTGTATAAAATTAAACAATGGAACATAACGCATAAAACAATGAATATCAACAAATAGTTGATTAATTATGGTTGACAGAAGACAGAAGCATGACCAATTACTTTTCTAAAAAATGGTAAGCAGAATCGTCGTAAGTACTTACGAATAGAATAAAAAAAAGAATAAGAAAAGAATAAAGTTGACTACTTACAGTTGCCAAGCCCATTCACGATTGTTGAGATGACTGAGGCGAACCAACTTTTCAAAATGGTCGGGACGTATGATGTTCCCTCCATAGAGACGGCAGATATCGTATGCATCGTTTCTACTATATCTTTCAATAAGCAGACGATATGTCGTGACACCATAAGTCCCTAAAATAATGATAGTGTAACATTAATATTGTTTTTGCTATATGATTTGTCTGTCATTATAATGCATGTTAAAAACAACGATATTAGGATCAAAATTTGAAACTGATATACTACGTTACATTCCGAAAGAAGAAGTTCAATTAACAATGCATCATTAGTTTGATTATATATTTCAACTAATATCCTCAATGCAGTTCAAAAAATAACAAGACACTACCGAAGTGTCAATAAAACCATAATTCAAAATCAAAATCGGTAAAACTAGGGCGAAATATGAAGAAAGGAAAGATTTACATGGAGACCATTGGAAACGTAAAAGGGGAATAAGACCAGGTGTTCCGGACAGTTAAGTGTCTTCTGATTCATCGACAAAACCCGAATTGAAAAAAAATACAAGGGGAATAAGAGCAGGTGTTCGGAACGGTAAGTGTCTTCTGATTCATCGACAAAACCCGAATTGAAAAAAAATACAAGGGGAATAAGACCAGGAGTTCCGGAAACGTAAGTGTCCTCTGATTCAACGACGGCATCCGCTAGGTAAAATGTAAGTAATGTCAAGTCATCATATCGAGAAGTCAGGTAGTGACAACACAACTGCAAGACACACTAATGAGCATAAGTACAAACATCGACTTTCCTTTAACACAAAGAAATAGCATGTATTTTATGTGATCATGACATACTTCAGGTCAATATCAATTTTTACGGACATATGATTCGATATAGACCAATCGAGGGTTAATACAATGAAAAGGTTACAACTATGTTTCAGTAAAATTAAGATTAAAGATACAAGCTGTTTCGGGCCATAGTACAAATTTATGATTCTCTGTAAAATGAAAACAGTTATGTACTGGGGCATTTTGCATCGGAGTCAATTAGTTGTTTTATCTACCCGAGAATTTGAAGACCTATTAGCCTCATTTAAGCCTCCATGCAACGACACAGCATTGGCTTGTAAAACTGCAATGTATATCGCTAAGTCTTAAAATCGTAAATGTTAAAAATTGTGTACCAACAAGTTCTGCCCTTGTATTATATATTCTTTTACAAGTGTTATTGAAAGAATCCAAAACAAAAACAGATTTGTACCAATTCAAAGTTCACGTTCTACATGAAATTCCATTTAAAGTCAGTCCCGCTCCGGAGACCAGTTTCCCTATGTAAATACTGTTCATAATAACTAAACCTGAATAGAGCACCCAATGATTGATTTTTAAATGTGGTCTGTGAATACAGGTTTGACTTCACACAGCAAACTAGTACAAAATCTATATATTTCAATGTTAAAAATTTAAATGATACATGTTCATGCAATTATATGTGTACACCGTAAAATGACAAATTCGGATTAAAAGGATTCGTAATTACAACATTTCTTATCATTTAGAACACTTTAAGGTACAAAATTATTTTAAGATTTTTATATCTACAAACAGTGCAATGTATTGGTAATGCATATTTAAAATCGTCTCTAGCATTGTAGCGAGAGAAAGGATGACTTACAAAACTCGTGGTGGCAGCAGCAACAGTAGTATTAGTACTATAAATTATATCTGGTAGGTTACCGATCTACAAGTATTCAGTACAAAATATAAATGCTCCGTGTTTTTGTGTGGGCTTCACATTTAAGTATAACTGTATCGGTAGGTTACCGATCTACAAGTATTCAAAACAAAATATAAATGCTCAGGGTTTATGTGTGGGCTTCACATTTAAGCTTAGCGGGCAAATTCAACATTATTATACTTGGAAGAATTCAAAATTATTTTTTGTATACAGTTCCAGTTGGTGCTTTTCCTGCTGAATGTTTTTTTCTTAAATGCTTCTTTGGTACTGATAACTTATAAAGCTTTAGCATGTTTCTTATCATTTTGCTGGTGTGTGATTTGAAATAATAATCGCCAGTGATGTCTACTAAAAGAGTGTTGATGATCTTGTAAAGAATTGCCAATGTATGTTATCTTCGTCTTCTTACCTGCCTGGGGTGTCATGCCCGGGTATTCACCATTCCCGCTCAACTCGAAAGTTTGCTTTGGTGTTTTAACTTGAGTTTTGTCACAGGTCGTTAAATATTTTATAAACTATCGATGTCATTTTGCTAGTAATAACTCAAATCAGCATTATTTATGCAGATTTTACAGGATTGGATTTTTTTTCACTTTTCTCCTCCTCGTCGTTAAAAACAATGTAATTTGATTCCTCCCTTTTTTGTTTGTGATTATTGATCAAACGATGTTTTTACGGTGATATGAATCTGTTTAAAATATCCTTATTTTTTTACAAAAGGGTTCATGTGTTGTCTAGAGCAATTAATATTAATAAGGTAGACGGTTTTTCTTTTCAAGATAATCTTAAATTGAATGATAGCATTCAATCTTCATTGTGTTTTCGTTAGTGACTGAAGGGCCTTCTGTAAAGTAGTGATGTTGGTGTTGGTGACGACGGTGTTGGTTTTAGTACTATCAGCAGAAGAAGTAACTAGCACAGAAATTGTAGTACAATAATACTTACCTTCCTCTACAAAGAGTTCTTCGTGATTAAAATGGTGACTAAATCCTTGATAAATGACGAAACAACAGCACACATAGAGATATAACAGCACCATGTTTCCTCTTTATATTGAGGTAGCGAACTATAGTTAAAGCCAACTTCTATAGCGACTTATAATAACACACCACGAATAGAACACCTACATCTTTGGCCCTCTTACAATAGTCGATGTGAAACATCTAATTTAAACGAAGTGCTCGCTATAATTACATGTGTATGTTTGTAGCTCGATATGTAGGCCTTTACACTGGACACCTGTTATAATTATAATATTCTCAGCTTATTAAAGAAGAAATTGATTTTAGAAATTAAGATAATTCTTGTTTGTATTCAATGTGTCTGGTCTGCGAATAAAGCTGTACTTACGATTAAATTCAAAATAATCATAATAACGACACAGGTAGCGATATTTGAATCTCATGTCAATAAACCTAACAGGTTATCATTGATTTAAAAATATCAAAGTAAACAAATTTACATCGCAAGAACTACATGGACAGAAAATAATCGACATTGTGCAGACTACAGTGTGTAAAGGCTAGTAGCAAATGGGGCTGAAATCCAATTAGTATGTTTTAATCATTACATATGCTGGTCACAGGTAAAAAAGGTATTTTTCTCTCAATGTTTGCGTATTGGATTTTTTTTTCTAACAATTATACTATATATCACCGTTATCAGAATGTTAAATAATCTGAACGAACAGGTTTAAAACAAAATAAGCAATATATTTTATCTCAAAGTGACAAATTAGTACAGAAAATAAACATAATTGGTGTTTTCAGTGTTTTGTCCACCTGTTAATTTACTAACTCGATTTTACATGAGTTATCCCGCTAATTGGACATAAGTAAATAAGTATGTCACGTGAATTATCCTAACATCTCCACTGAACCAACCTCAGTGCAAACTACCTTTTAACTCTGCATGGTGTTATCGTGGATGGGTAGTGCTAGAATTGTAGAATGTTAGCTGTGAAATGGCAGCACCCCAGGGAGTTGAGATAGATATTGGCTGGTTGCAAAGGCCCTATAACCACGGATAATGATGTGTGAATCGCTTTAAGACGACTTACGACTTCGAACTCGGTTGTGATAAACGGTATATAAGAGCCTCGAATAAGTATAATTTATTATTATAAACTATGGACATTAGTTTGGTTTGTTTGTGTTTTACGTCCTATTAACAGCCATGGTCATTTAAAGACGTGTCAGGTTTTGGTGTTTGAGGAAAACTCGAGCGACCGGAGAAGCACCGGCCCGTAGTCAGTATACTTGGCGACTGCCTATAGGAGGTCTTAAACCCGACAGCGTCCCCTATGAACATTGTTATATAAGATAAATAATTACGACAGTGTATCGATAAATAATCAACGGCAAAGAATGTTGTATTTGTTTGCAGTACTCTGGCACAAGTAGTTTTATCGTTCTTATTCATTCTGTGTTTATTCACATAAAACGAAACAGTCCGAGGAATTCCCTCACTGTACTTTTAACGTTCTATCAATAACTTGCCTTTATACTATCGTAACGTAAAGTATTTCTACTTCAACTTAGTTTATCGAGTAATTGGTGCTTGGTCGATAAAACTGTTTTATTTTACACAAGTAGTCTACCGTAATGTAATTTGATTCCTCCCTTCTTTGTTTGTGATTATTGATCAAATGATGTCTTCATGGTGATATGAATCTGTTTAAAATATCCTTAAAAAAAATTACAACCCCTTTTGTCAGAAATATTCATTATTAATATATAATACACTGACAATATGATCAGATTTAAATTAATGATATAATGATATTACATGTATCATGCAACACAAATTGGGCATGACAAAACAAATACATCTATGTTATCAGGACTGAAATCCATCCCCTGAAACTCCACGCCTTTGCAACCAGCCCATACCTTTCTCAACTCCCGGGGGAGCATACAGCCGGTGCTGTCATTTCGGCGCTCACATTTAGCATTCTACAATTCTAACACTGTCCCACCACAAATTAATTTACAGCTGAGTAGACTTGGGGTGTGGGTGTGTGTGTGTGTGTGTGTGTAGGGTAGGTTCTCCTTCAAAGGTTTTTAAATGACACATTAGTTTCTATTTGTTCAATCAATAAGAAAATACCAAAAGAGAATGAAGAGTAAATAAAACACATGACTTGTAATATTGCTTTCAAACCATGGTCTAGTGGACCTTAGACTTGAAACGGGGCAAATGTATATTTACCAGCTGAAAAAAGGTGCGGTGGATTATAAAGCTATATCCCCGCTCCTCCTCAATCAGGGGGAACGAAAGTGGTCAAGTGTGATGGTAATCCGTATAACGTTTTTATGTAACCTAGCTTTTTTGTTTTTAGAAAGAGGCTGTGAAGTGTGACTTTGACCCCTTTCAGATAAAAAGTGTCCAAGTGTTACGTTTGACCCTTTAACATTGACAGTAGACGGCAAAAGTCGTATCCGGTCCAGAACTCAATCTCACAATAATATGACAAAATTTAAACTTTTAAGGGGTTTGTGAGCATTTCAGAGTCCACACATCTTACTTCAAAACTGGTTGAGTTTGACACTTGACCCTTTTAGCTTAACCGATGACCACCAATAAAATCAGTTATATAACCACTTTCTATCACACTATGGTGGAAGTATGCACTTAATATGTTAAGCGGTCCATGCGATAACTTGTACACGAGATTTTTACAATTGAAGGGTGGACTAACAAAGCCACCATCATAAACCTTCCAAGCCACATGTGGTATTCCGTCCGAGTTATCTTCTCTTGGGAGCAGGTATTGATTGTTACGACACTTGTTTGTGAGAGTAACGTCATGAATTTTTGAGAAAACGACGTAATGTTCTCGCACAAACCAATGACGTAACACTCAATACCTGCTCCCAAGAGAAGATAACTCTGCAATACGCAAAGACGGAATAACAGAACTCTGATTTATGATACAAACGCATTTTATGAGTATTGAAAAAACAAATACGGCATATTTATTTTATATTGAATTAAAATCAGGAATAAACAACCCTCAACGAGTTGACTCAAAAGTGTTGACTCAGAAGTGGAATATACTTCTATAAATTAATTTTCAGTTTTTTGTCTAATTTTGACGTTAGAAAATTCTGAGTTTGGAATCTGATGTGCGGCTAAGCCGGCTAATATGTTGAATGCCTGCTAGGATCATGAATCCTCGACCTGCAGGGATGGGTTGACTTTGAACACAAGCACTAGTTAAAAACCTATTTTGCGAGCTTTCAAAACATCTGTTTCCTTTGTTAAGCAAGGAGTAACATTACTTATTTACATCATACAGACGAATCTCATTCTTAATATTGTACATTAAAAACAAATAAGCTTAGTTGATACTTTATTCAAGAAATCTATACATAAGCACAATTAGTGTTATTTGAATACAAACGCCATTAGTTATGGAAAAAGGGCACCATCAACTTGAAGCATAGTATTCTCGTTATCGTTATAATGAAATATTTGTTTAAGTCATTTTCTACAGTAGCATTACCGATTAATCAAACCTTAAGACACATTTTACAGAAAGATTGTCATTCAAAACAAACTATTAAGAAAAAAAAGTAAATGAATAAAAGAAATCTTTACCTTCCAAAACCTACCCTTTACCGATGCTAATAACCAGAAATTATGTAAACATTAAAATTTGAGATGAACCAAAAGATTCTTTCTCGTACTTCATATAGTTGAGAATACCCAAAGTCGAAAATAACCGTTCTGGAAGGAAACAGTGGACAGTGGATGCAGTGGACACCCTTTACCTTAACTAAAGGTGATGTAATGCATGCCTTTCTTCACATTATTTTACACAAGTAGTCTACCGTAATGTAATTTGATTCCTCCCTTCTTTGTTTGTGATTATTGATCAAACGATGTTTTCACGGTGATATGAATCTGTTTAAAATATCCTTAAAAAATGTACAACCCCTTTTGTCAGAAATATTCATTATTAATATATAATACACTGACAATATGATCAGATTTAAATTAATGATATAATGATATTACATGTATCATGCAACACAAATTGGGCATGACAAAACAAATACATCTATGTTATCAGGACTGAAATCCATCCACTGAAACTCCATGCCTTTGCAACCAGCCCATACCTTTCTCAACTCCCGGGGGAGCATACAGCCGGTGCTGTCATTTCGGCGCTCAAATTTAGCTTTCTACAATTCTAGCACTGTCCCACCACAAATTAATTTACAGCTGAGTAGACTTGGGGTGTGGGTGTGTGTGTGTGTGTAGGGTAGGTTCTCCTTCAAAGGTTTTTAAATGACACATTAGTTTCTATTTGTTCAATCAATAAGAAAATACCAAAAGAGAATGAAGAGTAAATAAAACACATGACTTGTAATATTGCTTTCAAACCATGGTCTAGTGGACCTTAGACTTGAAACGGGGCAAATGTATATTTACCAGCTGAAAAAAGGTGCGGTGGATTATAAAGCTATATCCCCGCTCCTCCTCAATCAGGGGGAACGAAAGTGGTCAAGTGTGATGGTAATCCGTATAACGTTTTTATGTAACCTAGCTTTTTTGTTTTTAGAAAGAGGCTGTGAAGTGTGACTTTGACCCCTTTCAGATAAAAAGTGTCCAAGTGTTACGTTTGACCCTTTAACATTGACAGTAGACGGCAAAAGTCGTATCCGGTCCAGAACTCAATCTCACAATAATATGACAAAATTTAAACTTTTAAGGGGTTTGTGAGCATTTCAGAGTCCACACATCTTACTTCAAAACTGGTTGAGTTTGACACTTGACCCTTTTAGCTTAACCGATGACCACCAATAAAATCAGTTATATAACCACTTTCTATCACACTATGGTGGAAGTATGCACTTAATATGTTAAGCGGTCCATGCGATAACTTGTACACGAGATTTTTACAATTGAAGGGTGGACTAACAAAGCCACCATCATAAACCTTCCAAGCCACATGTGGTATTCCGTCCGAGTTATCTTCTCTTGGGAGCAGGTATTGATTGTTACGACACTTGTTTTTACTTCATATAGTTGAGAATACCCAAAGTCGAAAATAACAGTTCTGGAAGGAAACAGTGGACAGTGGATGCAGTGGACACCCTTTACCGTAACTAAAGGTGATGCAATGCATGCCTTTCTTCACATTAATATATGTTGAACATATTTTGGGTCATTGCAATACCAAAATTCGGATCTACTTGTGCCTTCTCATTTATTGTCAATAACATGAAGCTAATGACAATACACAATACTACTCATAAACTTCCTTTACAGTACGGCAGTAATCGGTCACCTTACTTAAAACCTGAATTTCAAGTATGGGGACATCCGTTTCATTACTGTTTATTTTCCTTTACTGAGTAGTAACATATCAGCCTCCCCTTTAATGGAGTGTATATGTTTAGTTTCCTAAATCAGACTCTGTTATAAATATGGTAGTATTCTAGTTGGATGCGTTATGCTGACTAACCAACTAAAAACTAAAAATTGTATTCTAATTGCAAAAACAAACATTTATATTAATTACGTCAATACGATGTCCGTATCGCCAATCAGATACATTTTTATTAGTACATATGCACAGATACACATGTAAAAGTGATGAAAGAAATATGATGTAAATAACAGTGTCACACAAAATCTAAATAACTAGGGTATCTAAAACAAGTTTCATTATTTTTGAAGAATTTTTCTTAAGTCGGGACAAGTATGCCTTTATTTGTTTAATAAAATACTTTCATTTATCAAAATGTCATAAAAATCATTTAGAGTACAGAGAGGTAAAACATTCGTGGTTTATTTTTATTTCAACCATGAAATTATCATTTTACTTTTTTAATGGGACTACTGTTTGTTTTGAAGCATCCATAAACGAATGTGCCACGAAGCGACCTAAATAACTTCAAACCACCACAAAAATTTACTCACAAACATTTCATACTGGAAAGTGATTTGCAGAAATATTTTTTGTGTATTTATTGAGCCCCGTTTCTAATTCTCGGAAGAAAACAAATATTTTCGTATATAGATATATTTTGAGCGCAGAAGCATCACCACAAAGATACTGTAATTTAGTGATTGTTTCTGTGAGTAAAAATACATGTGTTTATACAATAGTCAATACGTGTATTTATATATCTAATTGGCACTTAATTCATCATTGACCTACATATGAAGATCACAATGAACTAAATAAAATGCACTTCACACTTTCGTGTTCATATAAATGGTCTATAGGCTACACAATTTTGCACTTATTAGATCTTCATGTGAAAGTCACAATGACGGAACTACAGTGCTCTGCACGCCTCCTTCAAATTTGCAGGCTCCAGCCTCTCTTCCCGATGACGTGTTTACTTTCCGCAGAGAAAGTCACAATGACTGAACTACAGTGCTCTGCACGCCTCCTGTTGGCGATGCAGGTAACTTTAACATACAATTTATCGTTTTAAAAAAAGAAGAAGAAACAAAAGAAACAGAATCAATGTTCATACATTTACAATAGAACGTTCTATATGCTTCAGGTGATTCATTTGATCCTTATTTGATAGTGACAGTGACTAAATACTAACACTAATTCTAATACAGTACTAGTAGTGGAGTCTCCTTTCGTTCGAACGGCAGACATAATTGAAAACTCATGAAAAAAACAAATTTGCACAAGTTGATATAACTACGCAACGTCTCCTTTTCACTGAATCTTTACCTAACTGATGCCACCAGTTGGTTCTTGGTTTAAACCATTAACTCCAAAGAGTTCGTGATTCTGTATTTTGTCCTGGTATCTCATGCCTTCAAATTTCCAGGATCCAGGCTCTCTGCACGTGAAGATGACGTGTTTAGTTTCCGCAGGGAAGAGCGGAACGACGTTCTGCCCAATTAGATCAACGTCACTGCTAGCCGAGATGATACATCCACGGAAGTGTATGGAGTGAAACGCATCACCAATGTTATGCAAATAATAACCAAAATCTTGATTGATATACCCTTCTCGAAGCTGTTCCTGCATCGCCGCACGGTAGTCAACCACTGTAAAAAATGTAAAAATAAATTATTTTAGAAAATGAAATATGCAAATAGTGTCATCTGTTCATTTCTTCATTTTTGATGTGTCTACGCTACTGTTTATATATATTTTCTACTATCACATGATACTGGTACAGCGATGCTGATTTATGAAGTCATATCTATACACGATTTAATGCAGAATTAACTGAAGTAAAGGGTACCACTGCATCAAATGCAAGAGTGTTTTTTTTATTTATGGTTATCTCCCTTATACAGAAGATGAAGCAATAATAAGATTTTTTTTGGCGTAGAGCAAGTTCGCCTACTTTTAAATTGTAGGCTAAGCAGGGTAAAGATATCGAATTAGACTCCTCAGCCTTTTTGCTTTTGTTTTGTTTTTCTATTGAAAAACATTTATATTAATCAAATAGTTAATTACGTGTTTTCTATACCTACCTGTTATTCTGTTGTTCTTGATAAAACTGGGATCTGAACGGTTTATCGATGCATACTCAGCCGGGATATTGTCATCAATATACCAGCTTCTTGCTTCATTCACCACACCCACAAGCAATGGCATGTTGACCGCTTCGTCAATGATCACGGCTGCATGATCACGACAAATTATCAAAGGACCGATCAGACCACTAGCTACATCTCTCTCAGGATCAACGTTGGAATAATATCTCTGAAATAGATAGAAAACGCCATTGGAAACGATAACGGCTTGCGTTCTTAAGTTTGAAAGACCTGTTAATATATATATCATTGTATATCTCGAACAAACTTCATTTTTTTTTTTTTTTTTTAGTCGATATTTGTTCTTTAATCACCATGGCAAAAGAAGTCTATACATTTCCATTTACAGTGTCACTAGATAACCTACTGGAAAGCTGTGTCGTTGATGGGACATTCAGTAACATGCACCACAAGACACAATTCTTAGCCGAAAAGGACGCGACAATGCGCTGTTCCGGTTATTAAACAAATGTGCAGATTGTCGATAAGTCGGGAAGTTTTAATTTTAAACATAATTTTAGAGTAAACAAAAATCGTAAAAGGCGGAAAAATGTAAATAAAAGCATTGAACCGTTTTTGCATGGCATTTATGATCTAATTGAATGACACACTTTAGCAAGCAAACAAATAATAACGTGCATAGCTGTGTTAACAGTTAAATGCTTAATAAATTTTATATAATCCTTCGTTTCAACAAAATAGTGAAATAATCTTAGATACTGTGAAAGTTCGCGATTTTTGCGTTAATTAGCCAGAAAATATCAACACGCAAATAAATATTTACAGATTAAAAGTTTTACAGTATTTTGAAAAGATAACAAAAAATAGCAAAATTGAATCGCTAAATCTGTAAAAAAAAAACCAACAACAAACAGTAATGAAATATGAAACTAATATTCGTTAAAGATCTAACTTTGCAGAAGGATCTTCTTGCAAATATATGCAAAATAAAATTTAATTTACAGTATAACAGTAGAACATACCCTCATCACACAATCCTGATCTCCGCTTCCAGGTCCGATTGATTCCGGTATAGTCCAGATGAAATCCACTTTCTCTCCTGGACTTACAGTCAGACGAGTACCGCCGTCTAACCGGCGTATCATCACGCCTGGGGAATACATCGAGTAGTTCCGGTTACCGTTGTTTCGGAACACTGGAAAAATAAAAAGTCGATATAAACAATAGAAAGATTGAAAAATCCTTCAATGTTTGTTCAACTGGAAAAGAAAAAATGGAGAAGAAAAGTAAACAAAAGAAAAAGAATATAAATATTAAAAATAAAGATGTATTTCCGTGATGACGTAGAATCATATAATGACTTAAACTGGGTGGTCGGGTTTAGCAGTGCTTAGTGCACACTCGTTTTGTTTTACCAAAGACGCCGGGTTCGATTCCCTAAATGAATGTAAAGTTTTTTTCTGAGCACTTATTTGTTGTAAAAGTAGCTTAGGTATAATCTTAATACTAAAAACAAGTCACCTATAAGTATTTTCATTTTTAAAGTCGTATTTTTATTAACGATTAATTGTTTTAGCGTGGATTTATGATGTGCAGATTCAATATAATCATCGTCTTCCCTTACCTTGAGGGTTAAGCAGATACCGACCTGTGATGTTTTGGTTGTCTAACTCTAGGCTTCGCCGAGCGTTTGCCAACCAAATGAACGCCAAGAGGGTCGGAGTTTTCTCTGTTATCGCCCTCAAGGTAGGGGATGAGTTTTTTTTCTACCATCCTATTATTTCAGTTACAAATCCACCAACATTTGTCTGGCCTATTTGAATTACAATTTACCTCTCCCAGCAACATCAGGTTGTGACGTCACAATTATCAATCTACCTGATATCACTGTTATGTTTCTTAAAGTTTCTTAGTGCTATCATACTCTTGAAAGTGACAGAAAAGAATGAAATCTTACAGGGTTTTATAGAGAGCTCTTAAATTGGTAAAACGGAACATACTTCAGTGAAAGGCAGGAGAACAGTTTATCTCCCATTACCGTTTATGTCAACGTTTAGTAAGCTTCCGAAAATAAATCAAGGACTCGTTTAAATCTTGCTAAAATTGTATTACATATTTTGTGCGGTCCAAGAAAATAATTGAAGATATTTTATCATGTTTAATAACACCAGAAATATTTAATTCGTAGTTGCGGTTTTAAAAAATCATGTGAAATCTTTAGAAATACGAATCATGTTAAAATAAGTAACCGCTTGGTAGAAAAGAAGAGAACAAATAACAAAATAGAAAAGTCAGAAACATTTTTTTCTTTATCATCGTGTAAAATTATATAAAGCGATAAGTACATGATGATCTATCAATGATATATTCCGCTATTCATATAAATAAAACGGTTCAACAGTATGTACATGTACTATCAAATGTTAATTTTTATGTTTTTAACTTATATTTAACAAAATACAAATTTAACGTAGCGGAAAAAAATCAAATACAAAATTTAGAAAAAATCAACATATTCTAAAAGTAGTTTTTGTAAAATAGTCAATGGCGGTTTATAATTTATATATTTTGGTAAAATGATCATGATGAGGGAGACAAAAATCAAGCTCAAAAATAGAAATTAAAACTTCAGATTTTTTACTTACACCTCAAGGTAATCAAAAACGTCTTTACGACCGTTAATAAATACGATATCAAAGTAGTTATATTTTTAAATAAATAATTACATATCAGAATGTAAAAGTATCTTCATTTAGTAAATATTCGTTTTTGACACTTGAAGATATATTTATATATTTTTGTTGAGGAAACTAAATACTTGAAACAAGCTTTTCTCATGTTACAGCATAATTGTGCCCAAACGCAGTGAAGAACGTTTGTGATCCTCTATGTAACATCTACGAGGTTTGTTTGAATTGTAACGTTATAGGGTGTTTCGCATTTAAAATCACATGAATGGAAATGGTGCTCCAATTATTACAATGCGTGTACCAATATATAATGTTATATTGATTAATATTATGAAATAATATATTATAATATATTATATTGTAACTATAATTCTTACCTATTTTGATATTTGTTCCAACAACAACACGTAATGGTGGCCGTTGTCCTTTTGCTTTTTTTATGCAAGACCAGAAAAAGTCACTCCTTTTGTAACATTTAAACATCGTCTTCATGAACTCTGGTCCGGTCTTGTAAACCCCATTCTGTTGACTGAAGGGTAATGGAAGGTTAATTATTTCAAAAACTACTGTTAAACAGAACAAATGAATTCGAAACATATGTTGTTAGTTTACTTTCGCCCATCGGCAATTGGCGTTTCATGGTGACGTTTTCATTAACAAGTACACATGATGAAGACATCAGATAATGTTGACTTAACAAAACGCGCATGTATTGTTCAATACTTAAATAATGTAACATAATAAATACATGGTTAACGAAGGTAAAAGATAATATTGCGCAAAACAAAAATAGAAAGTAGAATGCTACATTTTAATCAACACATTCATATTTTGTTTTTCATGAATTATATAGATTGCTAACGAGTATTGATGGCAATATAATTATGCACTAATACAATTTAATATATTACGGTGTTGTTGACGTCGGTATAAACTTATATTTGGCATTCCCTAGCTTATCGCGTTAGACTCAGTGTTCTCGAACGGTCACGCCCGTATTTAGTACACCAACTGCGGAAATGTTGTTTCCGTTCCAAACACATGAATATTTATTGAAACATTATTTAGGTTATAGACAAATAGAATATATAGTTTTCAGAGCTAATGCCAACGCGAAAATGTCCACACCGCGAACAGTTTAAACAGTCACAACGCGAGCAATTTAATCAGTAACAACGCGAACAGTTTAAACAGTCACAACTCGAGCAATTTAATCAGTTACAACGCGAACAGTTTAAACAGTCACAACGCGAACATTTTAAACAGTCACAACGCGAACAGTTTGAACAGTCACAACGCGAACAGTTCAAACAGTCAGAACGCGAACAGTTTAAACAGTCACAACTCAAACATTTAAAACAGTCACAACGCGAACAGTTTAAACAGTCACAACGCAAACAGTTTAAACAGTCACAACGCGAATAGTTTCAACAGTTACAACGCAAACAGTTTAAACAGTCACAAAGCGAACATTTTAAAGTTCACAACGTGAATATTTCCACTCTCGAAATATTCACTTTTAAACTATAAAAATATCATATTACCTAATCTGATTTTTCTATAAACAGTCGATACGACATACAATTTTAAAATAGTCTTTTACATTACCTCCTCCAATCCAATTCATCATACATCCTGTCGGTATAATCAAAATACTCGGTTACAATAGCGATGTAAAACGTTTCGTTAACATTTGTCATCAAAGGGCCCCTTGCTTCTAAACCAGAGCCAATCCGGAAGTCAAAGGACAATTCCTTACCAGCTGTATTTTCAATTTTCCATTGTCCTGAAAAAGCCCCAATTAAAAAAGGTTTCAATTAATATTGCTTAATATCCGAAACAATGTGGTGTTAAAAGCAATTTTATATGATTGACATTTTCAAAAAACTGCTTTCTATTGATTTATCGTTTTCTTGAAAACAATAGCATAAAAAAGCACAAAAAACACTGAAATTCATTCATTAACAGCTCCTCTGCAAATCGTGTCATTTTGCTATGATTCCAAACATAGCTAATTTACAATGTAGCGTGAATATTTTAGCAAAATGTATGTCGTCCTTTTAACAATCATTGGTATATGTAGTATGTTATAACACGCATGCTGTATTTTGTTGCCAGCAATAGAGATCGGTGCAATAGGACCACTCCATCTCCTAAAATATGGCTTTGTCATAAAACGACATTGCCATTTGGGATTTGTGTCCGCAAAATGGTCCTTTATCGACCTCTCATTCAATCTCAAAATGAAAATAAGGAAATAACAATTTTAAGGCATGATTGTACCTTCTAAAGAGCCAAGTAGTTTGGTGGATTGTATTAGACCATGATGCAGTCCTAGGGTAAATATCGAAGAGCCACCTAGTGAAAAGGGTATACCGTCAGCAAACAATGAAGACGCGGTGTCATCTGTTCCGATGTCCATCGCGTGTAATACTGCATTGTCACCAAGAGAAATTTCTATTCGCGGAAAGGCATTCGGTGGGAAACCATTCAATCCTAAAAAAATATTGCATATAGACATTGTATAATAAAAAAGAGCATTCACTCCTACACAAAAAAAACACGAATTCTTGGTGTTAGATGGAAAACTAACCCGCCAAGGCACGCCTCCAGGACGGAGGCCATTCACTCTTACCAATCAGGAAATCATGTCTAAATTTCGGACAACAGTTCAGATTCTACACCAAATTATGCTGAGGTAAAACATTAAATGGTATTATTTGAAAAGAAGTCTACGTGCAATATAATTATTCAGGGTAAATTTACTGCACCTTCGTCAAGATGTTCCCATAAGTATGTACTTGGACATGTTCGAAGGAAAACCGAGTATCCATGTTTGAGCTGAAAACATAATTTTAAATCGTACACATAAAATAATATTGTAATAATCATCTGAGTCCTTTTAGTGAGATAGCACTATATAGTCGGCATCAGATCCGCGCTATCACAAGGAGACAAGTGCACAAACATACTCAGTCTCCAGCACACATACACACCTACACACATGCATGCATCCACCACCTACACGGAGGCACGTCTTTAAATGACCTTAGCTGTTAATAAGACGTTATTTTTTTTTAAACCGAACCAAACCTACCTACATGTAGTAATTCATCCTGGCAAGATATACAATACCACTCAGACTTACCATGAATTTCGTTGTTTTCTACCCCATTACTCCTTATGTAAAACAGGAATATATCACGCATTCCAGGTATCTGAAACGACCAAATTAAGCTTGACACTTTTTAAGAATAAATGTTAGGTTCAAAATAAGCTCTCCATGTGTCTTTATACTATTATATAAGAATATGAACTCCATTAGCCATTTTTTTCTTTCCTTTATATATGTACTGCATACATGTATGAATACATCCAACAAATCTTTCCAATTGTCAATATTTTACATTGTTTAATAAGTATAAAAACCAGCTTAGTCTATACAAGCCTACCCTAAAGATAGCATCGTTGCATGAAGTAGGGCATTACTATTCAGACAGTTGCTCTTTAATAAAGTTATCAACCAGAAAACATTTAAATTATATTTCTTTCGAGTGTACAGCGCGGACAACATATTTTCTCAAAACTTTTACCAAAGCGAAGTGCTAAACATTTTCAAGAAGAGGTCAACTTGGAAACGTTTGCATGCTTGGTTTACGTATCGCAGCATTGTTCTGTTCGGGGGGCCGTTCACGTTTCGGTTTGTTGAACATTTAATGTCGTGACACATGCAATGTGTTTCTTTGTATACGCAGCACCGATATATTTTAACTACTGTTGGCGAATCCCAGCGATGTTTTGCTAGTCGGAATGGAATTTCTTTTTTCATAAAGTGCAAAAATAAATTAGTACGTCAATGCAAAAGCCAAACAAAGAAAACATTTTTTCTGTATCCTTTGACTCAATATCCTATGGCCATTTCTTGTCTTTATTTGTGTTCAATGTTTGTATGTGGAATATGTTTTTTCTAAAAGAGCAGCGGGAAAGACTCTATTGGACATTGGTACTGTTCGTTAAAAATGAAAGATGCATAGTTACCCGTATCTTTTGACCACGTAAAATATAACAATGATATTACAATGATAGATACATACATGCATGAAAAGTTGGTGAGTAGAAAATCTATTCAACGAAGACTTTTGAAAACCGTATTGCTACCAGATGTTTTACCATGTTTTCAAGCAATCCACTTTGACAGATCAACATGGGCCCAATCAAACCGGCGTGTACTTCGCTGATGACGTCAACTCCGGAAGTGTAGAAGCTTGGCATACATGGTAAATTGTAGGCTGTAGGACCGGTTAACTCAGACACGGTCCAATAGTACGTCTTCAAATGACCCGGATGTATCGGCGCGGTATCTAAAAAGCACAATACAACAAGTATAAGTTTACATATACTTAATATATTGCCTTGATTTTAATCATGTTCGTCAAACAATCTCAAACATTTTTGCTAACAGGACACTGAAAAATAACCTTCCTAGGACATTACACTCCTTTTCCAAATGATGCAATTTCGTAATCGTAGACCGTAATGCATTCGGAAGCCTGCTTCTTCTATTATTTGAGACACAGCTCGAGTGAATCTTAAGGATGCCCGTGCTTTTTCCTAACATTGCAACTATGCATTGGGAACTGATTTTACCGGTCTTACTATAGCTTTGATAAATCATTTCGGAAAAGACAATCATATCCTGCCAGCTTTTATAATGAAATAAGAATGCTAAGCCGAGATTCGAACCCTGGACCTCATATTGTTATACTGTTGCTATAACCGACTGATATACCTTGACAACGGAAGTACCGTGGCTTAACCTTTGCTACAATTATCACCAAAACGAAATTAAGGGAAGGTAGGTGCGTGTACGAAAAACCTGGGTGCAGTGGAACAGACATCCTTAAGCATGATTAGATTTTTTGATTACTATACATACCGATCGTGTCATTGTAGAATGCGCCCTCGTTGTATTTGTGGACACGAACGCCTCCATGGGGCTGTAGAGAATGGGAACGTGTGTCGTTATTCTTTACGACAATCTTTATCGTATCTCCAATTTCTGCTTGTAGAAGTGGACCAAGTACACCCAAATAATCGTTGTCTCTTGTACGCATCACTTTCGTTGTGAACCTCGAGTCGACATAGGGGACAAAGCTCACAACTCTGTAATCGAAAGAGGAAAGTATTAGCTCACGTCTGATACTGTTAATCACTTTTGCTTCGCGAGAGATTAATATTCGTGAATTATAATATTTTCCGAATTCTACTCAGAGAGATACTTACTGTTATTATTGAAATAGCATTCTCTCAATCACGAATTCCATTTTTTTCAAATAAACCCTTCAAAGCTTGCAGAAACAAATGTACGCAAAATTTGAGTGATAAAAAGTAACATGAACATACAAGGGATTTTTTCTGTGAGAAACTAAGTGCTTGATTGAGATATAAGTCCCAATGAAATCAACGTTAAAAGGACATTTTAGCTTTGATATATAAAGAAGCATAATACATGTACTTTGTTTTCTTTATTTTGTGTTATCTATTTTTTCATCGGGGAGCGGGGTGATTCTTAGAATGACTTCACAATATGAGTATTTAGACGAAAGGGTTATGTTAATCGAATGGATATTTCGAAAACCGACTCAAGACGTGAGAAATTGATTTAAATGTGATAAACAGAAAGACAGGTTACACGTATCTTTCTTTTTCATTTTCACATACAAGTTAACGAAATGACATTTTTTTTTATTGTGAAAAACTAAAACGTTTTTGTCTGTATTTACCTATTGATACGCTTAGCGTCCTCCCGCAACGAAAACAATACTAGTAAAACACGAATATGATGTATCATTAAGATGGAAGGCCAATGATTTTGATGACCGAGTTATCTCCCCTAAGCCATGTATTGTAAAGTTGTCGTTCCGTTCCAGATGTCAAGTTTATAGATGATTAAATATATTACGGAGATATTTGATAGTGTTTGACGAAAAGTTATTTGTAGTTATTTGAACGTTACTTTCAAAGCAAAAACCGTCTTACCCATCTTTGGGTACTTACGCGTCGCTTCGACCCGGAAACATAACGCTGTCAATGGCGATGTAGTACTTTCGGATGACCCCGTTTACCGCTAGGTCTATAGGCGGATTACCACAGTCTGCAATAGTCACCATCGCCTGCATTCCGGCTGAATATACAGAATAAAACTCGCATATAAAACATTGTATTGATTTGCTCCTCATATCCCCTTCAGATGTGCACAACGTGTAACGGTACAGTACTGTTATACAAACGGTCATATAGATAACAGAAATAGCATTGGTGCTAACACGTCTTCCTGTCATAAAAAGCTACCAGTTTCTTTGAAAATCAACCAATTATTTACTAGTATATCATCATTTTGTGCACTCTAATCTCAGTTTTGTCATTAACCTATAAATCAATCTTCTCTTTAACTATGGTATATTTCTTTTAGTTAAATAAATATAAATTTGATAAAATATATGATTGAATTAAAACTCCATTGATTGTACTGGTATACAGATTTTGAGATTTTAATAGTCAACCAAATCATCAAACGCATTGTCCGTGTTTTGGAGAATGTGATCTCGTTTCAGGTGATTTTACCGTAATACATTTGTAGTTTGATATGTATATACAAATGTTATAAATCACCTTTCATCAGTTTCGGATTTTGTGACGTCATCAGCCAATTCCCAGACTCCACAGCCTGAAACTTGGCATCTACCGTGAGTCCAGAAATTATGGGTACAGAAGGTTGTCTGAAACAGATAAATTCAACAACAGCTTATGCATAACTGTATCAGAATTTGCAGATGAAGCATAAAGCGAGAGAAGAATCGATCACCC